TTTAGTATTTTAGACTACAAATGTTTAATTAAATTGGTTCAGTGAAAGGAAGATGCAGGGTTGGATGTGAAGTTCCGGAAATTTCTTGAAGTTTTGAAATTCGGGGTGTGTGTGAAGGTTTTGGTTTGTGTGTGTGTTGTGTGTGTATACTGTATATGTTGTGCTTGTGTGAGTGTGTGTCAGTGTGTGGTCTGTCGTGAATGAGTGTGTACTGTCTTTGTCAAGGCATATAAAATAACCATAAATTTACTACTCTCGTTTATTTTGAAATAAATTTTTTTAAAGTTTAAATTTATTGTTTTCAGATAAGAACATTTAACGTTCATAAATGACAATTTATATAGCGAAGACATTGTTTTCAGATAATAAAAGTTACAATGTTTGCCTGTGAGGAGCCAACATTTTTCATTAGTCTACTTCAAATTTGGATAGATTACTAGTAGTTTAATGATGAAAATAAATATTTGTTACTCCTGGCTTGATCTTGAATATTAACGTTTCCCATCACACAATGAGTCATGTTAGTAACTTATTTATAGATTAAGCTGTAATTTTGTTTGACCGATCGTAACTCTAGAACTATGGAAATTTTGATTGGGGAACTTGGGTAAACCAAAGGAATAAGATTTTGAGGGGTTCGGCTCTTTATAACAAAAGTTCGCTTTATGACGCTGAAAATCAGTTAAGCAAAAGCCGTGCAAATTATGCCTAAAATAGCATAACTTTTCTTGTTTAAACAATTTTTCAACCTACGCAAATCCTTCATACTTCATTTCTGACCTACGATAAGTACGCAATACTACACATGCGACCTAATAGCACGAGGTTGTTAGCTGCTAAATAAATTTATGGCTGCAGCGCTCGGCCCAGAAATTGTCTGGCGTAGGTCCGATATTGCAGAAGTTCAGTAGGGGGGATGTTGCGTATAGACGAGGAAACAGTACCAGAATATTTCGGTGTGCTTCATACTAAGATATTTCTCTAAAAATTGTCTGTCGGATTCATTGAAAAAAAGTATGCTCTTGATACTGAATTTTACGTTGAGTAATTTATTAATGGCAATTCTAGAAGGGGGGGGACTTAATCATTGTAAAAACTAATAATTTAAAACATAACCAGACACAATTTAGTGCAATTATTCAATTGCAAACAAAAGATTGCAAGTTTTGAAATAATGTATGGCGAAATAGTTAATCTTAATTTATTTTAATTTGTCCATCATCTATATCCCCCCCCCAGAGAAGTTGCGCCTAATTGTTATGCTACGGAAAAAATATTGAAATAAAATTTGAGTTATCATACTCGAAGAAAGCGGACGACATTTGAAATATGTTGTGCCAGTACAAAATAATGTACTGTACTATCGAGCCGGTACTAGATATCTTGCCGCCTGGGCTGCTCGCCTAGTAAGCCCATGTGACACTTAACCTTCGGTGCCCCACCCATATAGCCTCCATCCCACAATATACTTACACACATTGAGCTGAAGCGAGGCGCTTACCAAAAGCGCTTCCTAGCCGTAACCCTATATCCTCCAGCAAACTGTCTTGCAATTTTGTTTAACATTGTCTAAATCTATCTATCTGTTAATCTATTTATCTGATAATAGAAAATTAAAAACCGATTTACATGCAAAACAGCATTATTTTTGATAAAGATTAAATTTCCCCTCACATTCAAAAACATTTTTATAGAAGATTAACATAAGCAGACATTGCAATAAACTTGGGCCACTATTGCCCTAGTGAGCAAGAATGTTTACTTTTATCATAAAAAATATTAATATGTTTAGGTTAGATGCCATGATGTCTTTAATTTCTTAAATTACCACTTCATTTCTCTATAATAAGTATTTAAAACTAAACAAATTTTGCCAGAGGTTATGGGGGTGCATCAAGGATATACTATGGGTGAGAGTGTAGCAATTACCTACTCAGTAACATTTTACACACAACAAATACATCCAGGTATACTCATTAATATCGGCCAGGACTTACTTCTCATGTTCAAAAGGCCACTCAGGCCATATCTCAACCAGGATTAACTCCCATGATCTGATTGACACACAGGTCAAATTCTCAACCAGGCTTAACTCCCTAGCTTTAAAGGTCACACAGTCCAAATCTCAACCAGGCTTAACTCCCCAGTTTTAAAGGACACATAGTTTAAATGTCAACCAGGCTTAACTCCACAGTTCTAAAGGACACACAGTTCAAATCTCAACCAGATTTAACTCCCCAGTTCTAAAGGACACTCAGTTCAAATCTCAACCAGGCTTAACTCCTCAGTTCTGAATGACACACAGTCCAAATGTCAACCAGACTTAACTCCACAGTTCTAAAGGACACACAGTCAAAATCTCAACTAGGATTAACACCCTAGTTTTAAAGGGCACACAGTCCAAATCTCAACCAGGCTTAACTCCCCAGTTTTAAAGGACACATAGTTCAAATGTCAACCAGATTTAACTCCCCAGTTCTAAAGGACACTCAGTTCAAATCTCAACCAGGCTTAACTCCCCAGTTCTAAAGAACACACAGTCCAAATCTCAACCAGACTTAACTCCACAGTTCTAAAGGACACACAGTCCAAATCTCAACTAGGATTACCACCCTGGTTCTAAAGGACACACAGTCCAAATCTCAACCAGGCTTAAAACTCCCCAGTTTTAAAGGAGACACAGTTCAAATCTTAACCAGGCTTAACTCCCAGTTCTAAAGGACAAAAAGTCCAAAATCTCAAACAGGTTTAACTCCCTGGTTCTGAAGGACACACGGTCCAATAAAATTGGTACACAGGCAATTTCTCAACAAATAATTCAACGAATACTAGGGTTTCCACTACAGGGGGGGGCAAGCCTTTTTAAGGGAGGGGCATGCTCCCCCTTAATACGGATTCCAAAACAGGGTCTACTTCTTGCCCCCTGCCCTTACAGGGGGGGGGGCAAGCCATCTTAAGGGATGGGCATGCCACCTTGCCCCCCCCCCCCTTAGTCGTGTGCATGAGCGGACTGAGTGAATGTGATTATGATTAATTAATTCGTGAGTAACTTAGTTACTACTTGAGATTGATTGTTGTAAGCGGTGTAATAGTTAGTACGGTTAGGTGACCTAAAACCTGAAAATTGGGCTCATTTGGCCATCATGTGTGATCACCAAGCAAGCTGGAGTAAAGTTAACTCTGATAGGTTTAATTTTGAATTCACTTATCATTTCTTGGAATTGTTTCTCGAAATTTAACGAAATAACGAAATAGCTCAAAATCACAAAATAGCAGGATATAACTAAATATGCAGATAACAAGATTTTCTTCAGAATTTGCGCAAAATAGCTTTTGCGCATCAATGCACAAAAACATCCAAATTTCGTGAAATTTTTACTCAAAACATAACCTAATCTTTGCATAATTTTTGCACAATTTTTGTGCAAAAAATTTTGACTGGAAACCCTAACGAATACTAAAGCTTTCTTTCAAGCCAACTTATGCTTCCGATAACATAATGAAAGCAAAGTCTTATTCAACTAATTTTATTCAATAGCTTAGCTTTCAAAGTTAACAGGAGTAGGCGTAGTTTAATTCCTTCAAAGTTATTGTTATCACATAATTAAGACAATTGTATTACATATTTAATGCACAGTTGAAGAGTTTAAGGTACATATTTAAAGGATTAAAAAGAATAGATATAACGCAGTTAAACTTCTCTGCCCATATTTTGTGGTGTCTATGTCTAAGTATAAAAATTAAATCATTTACAGAATATCAGGTTCACCCACTTTCTGCTACCAGAGTACAATGCCGCAACTCTATGTTTGTGAGTAAATTGCAAGATGGAGGCTAAAGGGGTTTGATCCTTCTCAGATTGTCACAAAACTATTTAAAGGTCTAACAATATGAAAAGTTTCTATAAAACGAATCTAGCAACAGAAGTGACATTCACATTGCTACTGCAAGAAGAATATATTCACAGAATACAGTCCTTGTAATATTGATATAAAATTTGTTTAAACAGAATTTCCTAATCCAGGAATCTAGAATAAGTAAATTTGAGTACAACATGAATAAAGCTTTTTAATAAAAAAAAACTTTAAACTTACGGTGTGTTGTACCATCTGCTGGTACTTCTATTATTACATATGAAACAAACCACCCAAAGGGAAGTACCAATAGTCTCAAATTAATAAAAGGAACAAAATTGTTTAACATTTCTATTAAAACTAAAGCAAATAAAAGAAACAAAGAAATAAAGCTATGTAGATATACTGCTACTTCAGTTTCCTCAGATCCACAGGTTCTGATTCCCTGTGATCCTTGCTGAACCCATGGCTAGGACCTCATCTGAAGTTATGTCCCTGAGGTTTACAGGCGCAGGCAGTCTGTCATGATACCATGGGGAGTTGAAATTGGATTTTCTCTGGGATTTTTCAACATACTCTCTTGAAGACTTGTTTTTCTCCGCTTTTTGTGTTCTATACACAAGAAAAGGGCAACAATAGATAAGGCGGCTGTGGCAGACAGAGGAGGGGCTCAGGGTTTGGGTTTATCTTCTTAATGGAATTTTTCATGAGTTGATCATGCTCCCTGCAAAAGCTGTGGACAGGGTTCCTAGAACCCAAATAACTAGATTTACTATGCTAGGTTGATTCTGGTAAAACTATGACCTAGAAGACATATTATTTTATTCAATTTGGTAAAAGTTTACCTAAACCCTTCAACTCTCACTCACAATCTGATTCTAGACTTTAAGGATGATAAATCTGACTTTATCCCCCGTTTCAGTCTTCTGAAAGGGACTGTAATTTGTATAATGTATACTGTCAAAAAGACTTCTGTCCCTTTCATCAATATCTGTACTCTTCATTTAAAATGTTTACATTAAAAAGAAATAAATATTATAAAAGTTAAATCAAATGAATGATCTCGATTAAAAAAAAAAATTATGTAACCTTTGGATACCAAATGTTGTATAAGGAGAATACAAGTTTGCTTCTGTAGAATTCTGGCCAACCATTTGCCGTCTGGACTATACTGTAATTATAATCGTTAATTTTAATATTTTTACTGCCTCAGCTTTGAATCATTTTAAATAAGTCATTTAAAGTAATAAGGAAAAGGATATTACAAATAATAGTTTAATAATAAGAAATTTTATTGGAGGCTCCAAGCTTTCCATGTGAGACCCCTTTTCGTAAGAAATTTAAGTTAAACTGTAATTCAAGTTAAACTAAAGTTAAACTTAACTTTAGTTGACTAGATTTTGACTACAAAAGTACTATAACTGGGTAAAAACTCTGGTTGTCCATGACCGGACAGCAATTATACTTTTGATGAAAATGGGAATTTCGGGATTCCCCAGATTGCCAGGTATTTGGGGATTTCTCCAAATTCCCAGATATTTGGGGCAATCCCATGATTCCCAGGTATTTGTGGAATTCCTCAGAATAGAATAGAAGAGAAAATTTGGTTTTGTGGCTAAGGTTCAATTCCTTTCCCAAACAGGCATTGAAAAATTTCCTATAATGGAAAAAAACATTCAGATTCTTCAAGTTTCCCAGATTTCCAGGCATTTGGGGAATTCCGCCAAAGGTATTTGGAGAATTTTCCAGATTTCCAGGCATATAGAAAATTTCCCAGTCTACCAGATATTTGGGGAATTTAAAATATTGACCATTTTCTTTCACTCCCTCTAGTTTTTACAAAGTTTGGGTTGAAAAAATGCACTTAAAGTACTCAAGCAGAAAAAGTGATTTTTATTATATTTTACAAAATCTTGTTTCTACTGTAGGAAGAATGTTTTCCCAATGCATGTTAAGGGTGTTAAAATCTTCAATAAAACTTCCATAATTTCAAAACAGTTTTTTTGGTTAATCAAACTTTGCAGAACTCTATTTTTAAATACCAGTTCTGAACTTGGAACATAAATGAAGCTTTAGCCTTATTGCCAAGTTCAGGGCTGGAATTTCAAAATTTTACTAATTTTACAAATTTTGTTCAAGTTCAAACTTGGCACAAACTTGGCGCAAACTTGGATGATTATCTTGACTTTGTTGTGAGTTTATGATCCAAGTTTATGACTAGTTCAGGACTGGTATTTATGAGTGGACTTAAAAAGTGAAGTTATACTCCAGTAAAAATCTAGTGCTATAGTGGGGATTTTAACACCAGTGTTTACCCTAACTTGGTAAAAACTGGGATTTAAAAATTGTAGTTTAAGTCAAATTGTTGTGTTGGTGAATAGGCTTCAAAAGTAGAGGTATAAAGTCCATTTTAAATGCAGTGAGGATTAAGTGGAACTTTTAACTACCAGATTCTGGTGTAAGTGGAGATTTACTCTAATTAAAATTGAGTTTTATAGGGTAGATTTGAACTCCAAGTTTTCACCCTGACTTGGCAAAAATTGGAACTCAAAAAGTCATGCTTTAGTGGGCTTATGCCCTAAGATTATGCTCAGTTAGCAAGTGGAGACATAGTCAAGATAATGTGGAGTTTTTAAGTGGAGTTAGTGGGTTTATGCCCTAAGATTATGCCAAGTTAGTGAGTGGAGACATAGTCAAGATAATGTGGAGTTTTAAAGCAGAGTTTTGGGAGACAAGTTGAAAACTATTCGCTCCTTCCACATCTGTTTGGTTAGTGACCTCAAGATTTTCATCAAGGACCCCATGCAGTTCATTATGTACCCCCAATCTTAATTGCAGGCATCCAAAAAGTTTTTGGGAAGCCCAAGCTTTTCATTGGGGACCCAGATCCTAAACTCAAATGGGTCTTCAATAAAAATATTTCTGAGGGCCTTCAATGAAAATATTTGGGTCTCTAATAAATATTAAGGGGTCTCTAATAAATATTAAGGGGTCTCTGATAAAAAGGGGGTCTCCACCAAAAAAACTTTGAGTCTCCAATGAAATTTTATGGAGAAGCCTGCAATCTTAAATAAAAATTAGGTGCTCCAATGACAAGCATTGGGTCTCAAATTCAAAGCCTGGGTTTTCCAATGAAAATCTTGGGGTCTGAGATAAAAGCTTGGGGTCTCAGATGAAAATCCGGGGGTCTCTGATGGGATTGCCATAGGGTCTCCCATGAAAAGGGGTCTATGATAGTACTCTTTCCCAACTCATCTTCTTTCCTGTAATATGATTCTTCCAAAGAGAAAGTAAATAGATTTTGTAAATATTAAGATTTTGAAGGTAATACTTTAATGGGTGCATGTATGGCTTTAAAAAGTGTCTCTAACATTTCAGAATGACCCTCCTCAAGTGAAGCCGTTGTAAATGAGAGACTTGAAGAAACATGTTAAAGTGATACCTACCTGAAAAATGTGTTATTGTCGTTTACAATGATATGAAAATTTAATTTTCTCTGTAATTCAAAAACATAAATTGGTTTAAGTTAAAATTTACCCAAAAAACATTAAAATTACTCAAGATTAAAAAATATCCAACTCCAATGTCAAGAGGAAATAAGAATTACTAATAAAAACTTCATAAAATTCTGAATTTGTGTTTTCCTGCGTAAAAAGTACTGCTGATTTAAGCATGACAACCACTTGTCTAAACTGCCTCATGTCTTCTTTTTCTCCCAAACTATTAGAAAGAATACTTTCAAAACAAACTCAGAAAAAAATGCATTTAAAATTTGGTAAATTTTTATAATGAACTGGTCTAGATGGTAGGGCTGGTGAAATCCCAACTTTTTTTAATGATTCTGTTCTGTTCTATAATGAGGGTCTTCAGCTAGATTGTACAGTTCTTATTCTGTTCTGTTCTGCTCTTAGTGTTCTTAGTCAAAAAATGGTTTATTTAATTACATTCACTTCTTGGTGTTCCATCAGTTCCATCCTCATTCCGTTCTTATTTAAGAATATTTCCATCCCTGGTTGCATGAAAAGGGGGGTGTACAATTTGTACTAAATGTAATAAATCATATTCTGATTTGTCTGGTTAAGTTTTGCATAAAATATCCATGTTTCCCATTATGAAAACTGATTAATTTTTTTGTGGTTTCTCTACAAAAGTGACTCATGTATTTCTTGCTTCTTTAACGATGGAGAAATGGAGGTATATTAGACATGCCACTCTATTAATGGACAGTCACTTGAAATTACGAAAGTGTTCCATTAAAGTATAATTACATATGATAAAAAACACTTTAAAATCCCACTTTTCCCTTAACTAAAAAAGTTCCACTATGAAGCTTTCGTCAATACTGCCTTCAGTGTGAACATATATTTGATATTTATATATATATCACAATATGTTTGAATAACATGAAAATATAGATTTTAAGAAAAGTTTCAAACTCTATTTTTCACCTCTGAAAGCTTATTACACCACTGTTTTGAAAGGGAGTGTCTGATGAGTTCACTTAAGATAATTACATAACTAACTTTAAATATGGAAGTGTGTATATGATCGAATAGAACACAAAGGTATTTTTTTTTTCAAAAAAGGGTAAAGGGGGGGCACAATGTTGCCAAGGGGGGACATCAACAATTTATTTTTGCTATTCCTACACAAATGCTCTTGTACGCCCCTGTAACTTTCCCCTTCTCTCACAGGAGTTGGAGGCTGGGGAATGGGGGCAGGTTTAGGGTGGCGGTGGGTTTGAGGTGATCAAATCAAAAAATCTTTTATCAATTTCTAGATGATTTAGAACACATTCCTGATTTAAAATACTTTCTTGACTTAAAATGTTTTCTTGATAATAAGACCACATTCCTGATTTTGAATGTTCTGTTAAGAAATTTCTATTTTATTCTGTTCAGTTCTTTTGTTAATCCTTCCAATAATTTTAAGATATTTTCTATGAGTTTGTTCCTTTTCAGGTTGATGGGATAGTTCTTAATACTTTATGTAGTTCCATTCATTCTCGTGAAAGAAAAATTGTTTACCAGGAACGACACCCACCCATACAGTAGAAGGATAGTTACATTGAAGAACTTTAGTGTGTAAGCCATTTATCTTATATGTACTTTCTATCAAATTATGATTAGTGTTTTTGATCCCAATAGATAAGTTCTTAATTTTTCACCAGCTTTTTCAATTCATATATCCATTATAGCCTTATACTCTATGGCTTTGGAGTCTTAAGATAAGCAAAACAAGAGGATGAGGGGGAAGAAATGTTCAATGTTTACGAACCAAATTTTCAACTACAGTTTATTTTTGAAAATTTATTATCCTGTTTTCAGGTTTATATTAGAAAATTACTTAGTACTGTGGCAAAGAATACTGATCAGATTCAGTTCCTCTGTTTTTACATTGTCAGTCTTAACCTAGAAAATGTTTATTTTAATGATTATATATGACAACTTTTTTCTTAAATCAGGGTAAACATAAAAATTCAGTATTCCAGTTTAATTAAAACTAGGGCTGGGCTCATTCCAACTTTTCCAGCAGTATTGTTAACAGTTAGTTCAAACCGTTAAAAAAGAAAAATTTCAGTTAGTTGTTAATTTCAAAGTAAGAACAGAAAATTGTAAACCACTGTTAATCGCTCTAGCCATCAATGGTACCATGATTACAAAATTAACGACGAAAAATTTTTGTTAACTGGTATAGTTATAGTTTATAAACACAGAAGACAACATTTAAATTTCAAAACACGTAAAAAATTTAAATTTAAAAAAAGTTTCATGCAATTTTAAATATTTTAACTTTTGATTTAATTCAATTAGAATAAGAATATAGCTTGATCAAGATTGTACAACCTCAATTAAAGGTCTTGGCTGGTAATAGTTTGCTACTTGCAATATCATATTCTGAATCTGTAAAAATGTAAAATGTAAAAATCTGAATTCTGAAAAATATTTAGCAGCAATTTAGACAACAACACTTGTTACACCAATGTTTACGATATAGCCATAAACCAAAACAAATTTAGGACTTGGCATGCTATGTTTTTACTTGTAAAATAGAAAATGTTCTAAAATGTTGAAAAAGTTAAATCATTTTGTATTTTTAATCACAGGCGTTTGTTTATTCATTGAAAAAAAGGGATAAATATTGCACTTTATGCTATATGGATAGTTTATGAGTATATGAATAGTTTAAAAAAAAACTTTTTAATTTACTTTACAACAGTTTAAAAATACATTCTCTACTGAGCTGCAGTGCAATATACAGGGACTGTACGCATTATTTCAAGTGACCTTCTAATTCCAGATTCACAACAGAACCCTTTTACTATTTGACTGATCAAGGATGACTTTTTTATCATTATTACATTATTTATCATGAATAAATATAATAAGATAAATATACACTTATCTTATCTTTATCTCTGATGATTAGGTTGAAAGGGTAATGTTGAGCATTTGTCATTGCCATCTCTACATGGAAGGTCACTTTATTTTAATTCCCTTTGAAAGGTAAAAATGGTCACCTGAACCTGATAGTCAAATAACTGTCCGTGCCAATGAACTAGAAGAAATAAACACAAAACAATGGTTATTACAACGATTAAATTGAGTTTAGAGAATCTAGTTCCACATACCATTTTCTGAAAATATAACTAATGTCCCAAAAAAACCATGTTGTGGTATCTAGAGCCGCAATTTTGAACTAACAATTTTAGTCAAATCTGCGAAATTTTCTGATCGAATGGTGTAAACTAAAGCATTCTATCATTTTCTTAGAAAATTCTTCAAACCCTTGGAGTGTGGGTCGTCCCTCGCAACCCCCCCCCCTTGAAATAGGCATTAGAGAATAACTATAGGGTTCAAATGCATGTTCAAAGCCTAAGGAATTGAACCTTTGTAACAAACTCTGATTTTCTAATATCTAAATTTTTTCCACCTGATGGTGTAAACCTTTGATATTTCAAACTTAGATTTTGTCATAGAAAAATAAATAAACATCTAGATAGCTTATGTATGCAAAATCACCAAGAATTGTACAGTCCGCGAACTCATCCTCTAGGGGTCAAAGTGTACTTCAACGATAAGCGGGGTGGTTTGCTGTTTTAATGGATTTCATAATAGAGTGTTAAATAACTCCCGGAATGGAACTATTTGAACAACAATATTTCACTAAGCAATATATCATATTGACGAGAACTGAAGAAAGACATGAGAAGGACTAAACTAACTTAAATTTCTCTACAGAACTCATGTACACCACAAGTACTCAATGACATAAGAACAGCCAATGTTCACAACCGACCTAGTCAATCTATATAATAGGAATATCTTTAAAACATCTCTGTACATTTATATCTTTCAAGATGAAAAATGTCGTCTTATGTGCAAACTATCTTTATCTATGGATTTTGTCATCTAGGGCATTGGATTACAAAGATATAGAGATTAGAAAATCACAGTTTGTGACAAAGACTCAATTCCATTTTCAAGGCCCCCACATTGAATTGGACCGAAAACTTTTAAAGTTTGGGTGCCAAAAAAAGACAAAAAAATGTGAAAAATATTTATAAGAAAAAAAAATTTAAAGTGTGACACAGGTTTTTAGATTAATTTTTCAAGGGCTTTTTAAATTTATAGATTTTAGATCTGTTGCTATAGTCAAAAAAAGTTATGGGCTATTTTATATTTTTTTTTGGCACAGGCCAGATTTTTTACCGCCTGCACCCTACCCTATGCACAAAAAAATGTTTATGAAAAATCATTTAAATTTCTTTGTCAACAAATTTCACGGTAATGTACTGTCAAAAATGAGAGTGCTAAGATTGCAAGGGCAAACTAACTAAAAGGGGGCATCAAATGCCCCCCCCCTCCTGCAGCCTTTTTAGGGTTAATTTGAAGTTTGGTCGAAAAAAAATCAATTGTTCAGTAAAAAAAAACAAATCATAGAGGGGGGGGGGGGTGACAACAAAAATAATTTGTTCCCAAACATGAGTCTAGCTTCCATCTCCACCTGTTATAGCTAAACCTACCAAACCAACTTTAAGATATATTCACTACAATTTTAGGTTCATTCGTGAACTTTAAATGAAATATTCCAAAAATCAAATTTTCATGGGAAAAAATTTACATGAATGATAGTTTTTTTCAGTAAAACTAACATTTCCTTAATTTAAACGTTTGGAGTTTAAAAGTTCAAAAATGTTTTTTAAAACAACCCAAAGCTCAAAAGGACAAGTTCTGTGGTTGAAACCCCCCCCCCTCCCCCCCCATCCCATAGGAAACAGAAAAATATAATCTTTTTATATCAATTAAAAGCTGGGTTAGGTCGGGATAATCTTTGACTACTATTTGCTAAACTAAAGATCATTTCTCCATTTTATTTTGAAAAATACACTTGTTTACATATACATTAAAATTACATTAAATATAATTGTATTCACATGGTGTTCCTTAAATATGGAAATGAAGGGATTATTATTGAGATCATTAAGGTCTATTTCAGTTTTAACGGCGCAAAGACAAAAATTTTAAAAAGGTTTATGAAATTGTTAATAGATGTGAACACGGAAGACTTTAAAAACTTCAAAACCTAATTTTTAAACATTTTTTTGAAAAGTTTCATTCAATTTTAAACAAATACACTGTTTTTAAAAAAAATCTGTTTTGTGTTAGTTTTCAACAGTTAATTTTTATATAATTTATTTCCCCATAACTTTTTTATGACTGAAGCTACAAACCTACATGGGCACCAAAAACATTTTAATATTTACAAAAATAAAAGTTTAATTTTTACATTTTTTGAGTCTATTTTTTTCCCTTTTTCAAATCTTCCTTTTTAAGTTTATTTTTTTAATAAAGTGGCCTTGGCAAATTGGGCTTGGAATGCATTTCAATCCTTTCCTTTAACCCTATAAAGGCTGGGGGGTCTGAATCTATGTATAGCTTGGGGGGGGGGGGGGTTGGCGACCCCCCCTAGAAAAAGGCCTTAACAAATAGGTATAGGGTTGACATGCAGATTCATAGGCCAATTTTTTGTGGCCAGCTCAAAGAAAAAAAATTAGACCGATAACTTCAATAATTTGGGTGTAATGGAGGGTGGAAAAAATGCCTAAAAAAGGGTAAAATATTTCTTTTTGTTTTAAACAAATTTCAAAGTGTGACACATGTTTCTACATACAATTTGTAAGGACTTTTTAAAAATGTATTTTTTAGATCTGTAGCTTAAATCACAAAAAGTGATGGGCTATTTTAGATTTGTTTTTCACAGACTGGACTTTTCTTTCCCCCTGTACCCTACCCTATAAAATATCCTTTACTATTTATTAAAAGTCACATAATTTCACGGTGATAGTGTCGAAAATGAGAGTGCTATGACAAAAACTACAGCCTGCTTAGAGTTAAGACCTTTATATAGAGGGCTTTACATAAATCTATACCCCTTTCCATTTAACTATAGTTCCTGTGTATACCCTTGGATCTAATGTGAAAAATGTTCTTCGATGCTTTGGAAGAAACTAACATGAAAGTGCTTATGTGAAAAATGATTTTTCACAAAAAAAGATATAAATGAAGAAATTGTAAAATTTTGCGGATTGAAACACTAAATATCAGGGTTTAAAAATGTACGAATTTAAATTTAGAATTTTAGTTCTGAATTGGATTCACCCACTTCAAACTCTTTCTTGGAAATTGAATGATCAAACACAAACTTTTCAAAACAAATTCAAAGTACAGGGGTACTCATAAAGTTGTGGAATAGGAAAATATTTGAAAATAAGTATTTGAACTTCACAAATGTCAAAGTTGTAGATATCAAAAATCAAACCTACAACATTAGGCTGCAAAAATAAAGGTATTAGACAATACAAATTTTTGGTGAGTGTTAAGATTTGTAGAAAAATTCATGTCTTAAAGTCGAAAGAAATAAAAATAAGTTTCGACTCTTTCAGTTAAAAATATAAGCTAAAATTCTACTCACTAATTTTAACCTAATATTTTGTTTACTAGAAGTTGTACTAGACATGTTATAATTTTACAAACTAATTTGGCTGTCGTGACTTAGAAAAGCTTTTGTAAAATCATTTTAGTTGCAGATTTGCCTCCAGAATAAAGATGAGCCCTTTCCCTTGCTAATGTGACTAAAATTCATTATTGAAAAACAATCTTTTTGCATTAAATCAATGTTATATAATTTATTAATTTGAACACTTTAACTTTTAATCTCTAATCATTGAACAATTTATTTAATAATCTATATTTGAATACAAGAAATATGAACATATTAAAAAAGCTCCTGATAGATTCGCATATAAAATGGAGGAAATCCTAGAATAATCAAACATTTGTTAAATTGATCTGACTTCAAAATATGATGCAGTTTTTCATCAAGTTGGCACAAGGGTTGTTGACACTGAGGAATAATGGAAACAAGATCTGTTATTAGTTTGATATAATTCTGGTCAGGAGACTGCAGGTATAGATGGTTAAGCTTGAAGTACCATGGATATGACAAGGTGTTTAGGTTTAATTCAACAGAAGGAATCAGTTTAGAAGTTAATTCTGAATCAAGATGAATTTGATAATTCTGTATTTTCTGGCTTGACAAACTAAACATAAATGAAGATTTGTTAAAAATTGGTGTTTCATAACATTTTTCCTCAAGAACCCTTATATCCATCAGCTGTTTTGAAACCAAAGTAAACACTGTGTCCTTAGCATTTTGATTAAATACATAGGTTGTGTTCCAGCTTAAGAAAGGACAGGCTGATTCCCCCTTCAGAGATGGTTTTGTTTTACCCTCTATTTCAATATTCACTGAATTATCACTCATTCTATTGCTGGAAATAAGAATGTTGTAATCATGGTGGGATTTATCATGCTCTTCTTTAAAAAGAAGTTCTAATGTGCCTTTGTTGATAGTAAGTTCTCCAGATGTCATTAAGTAATCATTGTATAAGAATCGGAATTCATATCTGGCTAGTTCATTGCTGAGAATGGGTTTTGTCTTCCCATCAATTGATATTACCATGTTCTCATCATCATAAGCTAACTCAAACTTGTCCAATTTATTTAGACTTTTTGGGACACAGACATCAAATGAAAGTGATTGTTTTCTTCCCCAAATAGAAGAAGTTTTTATTCTTACCATATCAAGCATGTTCTCACATTCTATCTGAATCAGACGATTTTCATATTTAGCTAAGCTTGTCCTCAGATCTGAGATTCCATAAATAATTTTCCCATTCAAAAATTGCAATCTGTTTTTAAAGGAGAAGTGATCAATTGAAGTAAATTTACCTACAAGGGAATGGATAATTTCCCAGACAATTGATTGTATGCTAGCTGATAAATTGCATTCAATTTCACAAAGGCCAAAATGATCATTTCTACAAAACTCATTGTCAGAAACCATCACATGAGAATGAAATTCGAATATCCTTGATCCATCCCATTCAGCAAATAAATCATGAGACCCAGATAATCTAAATTGCTCTATTTCATGGCTCTGTAAGGTTGCTGTAAATCTATTTGATGAGGGTGAATTACTATCTGGAAATTCTGTAAAACTTACCGAAAGCTCAATTTGGTTTCTTACTCTTGATGGTGTAAAATTTTGACGACTAAATGCCAATCTTACAGTGGGAGCTATGGGTAGATCTTTGCCAAAATCTAAAAGCAAGTCATAACCATGTGTCTCATGCTTCTTTAGTATTAGCAGTGGAGTTTCTCTGAATTTAAATTTGTAGATGTTCACCTTCCTTCTTGGTTGTTTTCCCTCTACTATCTTAAGATAAATGCTTTGTAAAGCCTTATTGACCTCTATCTTAAAATTGACTTGGTTTCTATTGCCCTGGAAAAAACCATAAGATTTCACTTCTTCTTGGGTGTCTTCTATGTTTAGGTTTGCTACAAACATATATCCTATTTTGGAGAAATCAATTCTTATTTGTAAGCCAAAATGTTTTCGATTTATTTCAATGTCCAATAAGGTTGTTCTTTTTGGTGTTTTAATCCACAAACTAATTTTATTTTCATCATTCTTAATTTGTATTGGATATTCTTCTGAATCAGAATTAGGATATTTAAATCTTCCTTCAAGTTGGTCTTTTCCAGTTGAGTTAATTTGGATTTCAAATTGATGTATTAGGCTTCCATCTTGGCTTTTGAATGAAAGATCATAATCTTGAACTGTTTTACGCTTCCAAATATTCAGGTCTATTTCTCCTGACCAAGGCTTATGGTTTGATTTTAACTCATATTCAATTCGGAATTGATAATTCTCATGATAATCGGCTGATTTATCTTTTTTAACTTCAAGTTTCACCAAGCCTATATCTGTAGCTGAAATCAGCTTTGAAAGATCTTGTATTTCCAAATGAGCTGTTCCTCCATGACTCGGATCATCAGGATTCTTATACTTTATACCAATATGAACACCAAGGCTGTCGAAAACATACTCTTTATCATATGTGCCCCTTTTTGATCTTTTTGCACCAAGAGCAGACACAAGCAGATCTGGTTGAGAGAAAAATGTTTTTGCTAAGTTTACAAAGGATTCATTGCTTGCTGATAGAACTAAACCTTAAATAAATAGTACATTAAGGGTAGGGCTGTGCACATTCCAACTTTTTCTAGCCGTTTTGTTAGCAGTAAGTTCCAACCAACCATTAAAAAAGAAAAATTTCAGTTAGTCATTAATTTTAAAATATAACATCAAATTTTTAAATTTTTAAATTTTTAAAACAAATTATCAAATTTTTAAATGACTTACCATCTGCTTTGGATAAGGCCGGGATCAAGAAAATTAAAAACAACATTATTACTTCCACATGACCTAAAATAGATATGTTATCCATTGAATCATTATATATTATTTAAACTGTAACTCTTCTGAAGAGGATTTTTATTTGGAAGTTGTAAATTATCTCAGAGCAAGAGACCAATGGCCGAATTTTAAGAATTTCAGCCATGGCGCATATTTAAGACTCTGCTCATATATGGTAGGTCCCAGTTGGTGCTTGATGGCAAGATGGAATATGGTTAAGGAGAAAATTGAAATTTTTGTCATTTTATAAAATTAAACCAAAAATGGCTTTGTACTTTTTTATTAAATTTTTGGTTCACAAGCATAGGTGTCTACAGGGGGGGGGCGTGGCCCATTACCCCCCCCCCCCCTGAGTGAAATTTTGGGGAGGCGGCGATTTTAAAGAAGTCATTACTCCAAAGACTTTTGTACTGGTACAGGTCATTAATGACCACCAACAGGTTCGTCAAGCACAGTTAAAGTTTAAGGTACGTAATTAAAGGATTAACGAGAATAGATATTATAATGCAGTTAATCTATCTCCACCCATATTTTATAGCGTAATTTAAGTGTGTCGCATGCGCGCATGATTTTAGCTAATTATTTTAAGTATTCAATTGAAACGCAGTTTCAATAATTAATGCCATGTCTAAGTTTAGAACATTAAACCATAATTGTAATGTACGTCGTAGTGCAAGTTTACAGAATATCATGTTTACACGCTTTTTGCTACAGGTTTAGCAACAATGCGTATTTTGCTGGAGAATATTTTTATATTTTAGAGAAATTAAACTTCTTTATCAGGAAAAGAAAAAACGGAACTACAAGTAACATGCAAGGCCTGCATTAATTTTTTAGCACTGTATTAACCTGGTGAATGCAGGTTCTCATAAATATACAGTGCTCCACAAAATAAAATATATAAATATACAGGGCTGCAATAACTTTTCCCCCTAAAAATGTCGTCTTCATTTCCCTCTTTATTCTTGGTACCACTGCATTCTTTCGTCCTAAATTTCTTCTTCATTTTCCACTTAAGTTGAAAACAGCAGAACATATTTATATTCCACTTTATTCTGGGGACCACTGCTTCTACTGCGAAATGTCGTCTTCATATTCCACTTCATTTTGAGTACTACTTAATTTTTGTTAAAATGTCGTTTTCATTTTTAAAATTTTCAAAATTTTAATGAAGATCGAATTTTGATGGAGACAAATATTTGAAATTTAGATCATTCATAAACCTTCCCTGTGGTCACGTGATGTCCCACAAAAAATTTGGGCCCGATCGGTTCAGCCGTTTTGACGTTTATTGGATACAAACAAACAGACAGACTAACAGAAAGACAAGCCAAATTTATATATAGATGCTCTCTCTAAAACATGCCTTGTTGCTACACGTTCTCGTTCTACAATGTTTGACTTCGCAACATTGAAAAGCTAAAATTAATGCTAAAGGATTTCCAAATTGAACACATCTTACCCGTGAGAGAGCTTAGATCAAAGTGAACAGTAAACTACTGCATAAAACTGATTTTAACATGTGTTCTTCATGACTAGGGGTTAATAAATGTATGCTAAATATTATACCCATTCTGAACTTGCATCAAATTAAGATTTTAAGCATGAATTTTCTACACATATGTTATCCATATTTTTCTTATATTGCTTATTTGAGTAAAACGTAGATTCCATAGAAACTATTTCTGAATTTGAAAGCAATGTTTTGGTTTTAGATTGATTATTTTCCTCTTTGGTTTCTCTTAACCCTTAATAGGCTGGGGGGCAATGCGTTTGACGCCACCTCTATTTTTTTGGCCCCTATACTCTCATTTTTGACAATATCACCAAGAAAAATCGAAATTTAGAGTATTTTTCTTTAATTACATTTTTTTAAATGCTGGCGGTAAAAAGTCATGTCAATGTAAAAAAAAACTAAATAGCCCAAAACTTTTTTGTGACTAAAGCTACAGATCTAAAACGTATATTTCTGAAAAACCCTTGAAAAATGGATGTAGAAACATATGTCATACTTTGATGCTTGATTAAAACGAAAAAAATATTTTTTACATTTTTTTTCAAATATTGGCTATGAACATATATGTTCAATATTTTCTTTTTTTATATTAATCTATATAATTTTTTTGTTTTCCTGTGCATTAGAAATTATAAAGTTTATTTTACAAAGAAAATTCTCAATTTTTAGGGTAAAAAAAGGAAAAAGAACCTTTCAGCATTCTGTAAATCAAACATTTCCATTTTTTGTAAATAATATTAAGGGTAGGGAGGGTTCTTTTTATTAAAGGGAGTAAACGGCAATGTATGGTAGTTGAACTTAGAATATATAGTTTTGTGGAGATATTTTTTAGGATTCATTTGAGACATAAATGTTTTAATGATGTATAATTACTGAATTTGAGCGCAAAAAATCTACAGTAAACTAATTAGATGTTTAGGAACAAATTTTTCAATTTCAACAATTTTCTCAATAAATCAATGTTAGAATCAATTTCTTTTTCATCATTATAATGAATGACTAGCCGGTGCAATAAATTTGACGCGGTCAGACTTACTTTTAGGTAGAATTTAATTTTACTAAAGGGTCAGGGGTGCATGATAAGAGAAATACTTTAATCATCATTTTGTTCTTTTATAGTGTTTGAAATATAACCATTTTAGAAAATATCAAAATATGCTATTTAGAACACAACAATATTAATTCTATATTATTATATATTTTTACATCTTATCGAAGTTTTTGGTAGCCCCTCTGATTGCAATATTTGCACAATAATTCGTGTTTAAATTTAGTCTTGCAGAGTCCAAAACTGAAGAAGGAAAAGTTACGACTTAAATGTTAAGTTTCAGCTTAAATGCCACTTCTGACTTAATTAATACCTGAAATTTAAGCTACAGCTAAAATATTTAACTCGTCGATATATTTCGGCGAGTTTTAAACCCGAAAATACCCGCTTTCAATCTTGCGATATGCATGCATGAAATTGATTTAATCTGACGATTTAAGTTTATAAATCTTTTCCCGTAATCTGAAATAAATAAATAAATCGTACTTATCTAATACAAGAAATATTTGTTGTTTTTCGCGCTACAGTTTTGTTCAGAAATTGAATTTGGAAAGGTCATTATTTAAGTAGCAACTCATTTTTTACAGAACTTTTAAGCTGTAATTTAAATTTCGCGCATTGGGAGACTAAATTTAAAGAAAAGAAACATTTTAAACAGGCTTTTATTTTTTTGTCTATTCATATAATCAAGATTGGCTCTTGTGTTGAATAAAGGTTGTTTGGTATGATTTTAAAATTAAATATTAAATTAAACCTGTCATACAATAGATCTAAGACTTTGCCAGAAACTAAAATTTTGTAATCCTCTTAGCACTGCAACCAGTTGCAGGTATAAATGGTACAATATTATTATGAAACAAAAGCAATTATACTATAAAGATATATAAATATAGTTTTTAGTCCATTTATTAAAAGTTAAGAATAGTTGATATCTAAATATCCACAAATTTTTCTAGAAAAAAAATATCGCGGCAGAAGGGCCTCTCATTAGAAGCCCTGGCTAAATTAAAATGTAAAAATTTTGCAATTGAAATTGTTTTTAATTAAATATTTAGTCAAACATATATCTATTGAAAATTTCCATTCTTTCGATTCCATAGATTCAAGATTTTTTATATAAATCAGTTCTAAAATTATGTTTACTGAAATATACAAACACATGCTTGTAAAAATTTTATAAATAAACTGTGCAAAACGAGTGCATAAAATTGTTTAATTATGAGAAATGTTCAGACTTATTTAATCTAACAGAATTCATAGTTTTATGTATCTAAGGTCTACAATGTTGGGTTGCAAAGATATAGGGATAGAAAATCAGAGTATGTGGGAAGGTTTCAATTACTTTAAAGTTAATGTCTAATTTTAGTTTTGTGTACAGAAAGAAAAGATGAGATTAATTATAATTATAATACTAATCTGAGATGTTCTTCCTTTGGAATTTGATGTAGAGGACATGAAATAAGTGTCAGGGGAAAGAATACTAGACAAATTAAAAAAATGTTTTTTTGGCAAAACTTGCTAAACTTTTTTTAGAAAATTTTAAAGATAAACAAGCTGATATTTTTTACCATAGGAATTGAGTCGTTGCAACAAATATAAATTTTCTATCATTGATTCTAAATTTGATCCTGTAAACCTTTGATATGTCAAACTTAGATTATTTGATTCAAAAGATTTTACATTGGGTTGCACAGATATAGGGATTAGAAAATCAGAGTTTGTGGCAAATAGTTTGTTTTGTTTTTATCTTTCAACATTATGAATTTGAAACAAAGACAAATTTGATATAAAGACAAAATTCATAAACTCTTTTTACTTTAAAAAAGATTAAATTGAATGTCAAAAACTCATATTTATTAGTAAATTTTATTTTAAAAAAAGGAAAGTAATTAAGAGAACTTAATTACCTATTTTCCCATTATCAAAGATAGAGAACTAAATTTTGCACAAAACATATAATACCAAAAACTTATAGAAATATAGATTAAGCATGATGTAGAACAACATTTGATTAATAATATTACTATTTTTTAAAATTTTTTTTTGTACTTCAGCTCGCATGGGTGGACTGTGCTTTTCAATGTGCTAATGAAAGGGTAAAATGTGTCATAAAATTTTATAAATAATATAAATATATATTAGATAAAAAATAAGTAATATTTAAGATCTTTCTAAAGTCAATTACAATTGTTTTCTAGAAGAGAATAATGCTGTATTAAAAAAAATTCCAAACATTATACAGGGTGAGTCAAAAAAAACGTGTTATTAGCGGTGTTTTGTACAAAGGGATGTTAACGTTTTCATTTTTTTAAAAACGATCGTTTCCTTATGAAAACGACGACGAGAAATCGAAAAAAAACGTCGTTTTTAAAACAATCGTTTTTTAAAAAGTTCGTTTTTTAAAAATTGTCGTTTTTAAAAAAGATTGTTTTTTATAAAATTCGTCGTTTCGTTAACGAAAAGAGGAAACCGACCTGATGGGCATCTGTACTTATCATTGAGTAGTTTTTAAGAAAATATCAAGAAGTTTGAACTCCACCACAACTGTTAAACTTCATGTAAACCGACCTTCAATAAAGTTGCATGTAATTTTTTTTCCAAAAACGACCGTTTTTATAAAGTTCGTCGTTTCGTTAATGATCTTTAACAACGACCCTTCGTTGACGATCGTTAACGACGACAATTAGTTAACGATCAATAACGATGAACCTTCGTTAACAATCGTTAACATAATTGTCAATAAAATTTGTCAATAAAACGATCGTTTTTTAAAAAACAATCGTATAAAAACCGTCGCAAATCGTTTTAATAAAAACGATCGTCTTCAAAAACAATCGTTTTTCGTTTTCTAAAAGTTCAAAACGAATGGGTCGTTTTTAAAAACGATCGTTTTTTCCGAAAACGAAACGATCGTTTTTGAAAACGAACCAAAAACGATCGTTTAACGATTGTATACAAAAACGATTAACAACCCTACTTGTACAAAATTGTACTTTTTCCGTGCACCTCTCCTGAATGGTGTTTTTTTCTGTGAAACTTATTTTTTTCTCAAACTCTAAAGTTCAGAAAACCAAAAATGTGTACACGTATTATTTCTACTGAATTCTGAAATTTTATAAATATTGAATCAATTCACAGAAAAGGAATTGAGTTTTTGCCACAAAAATCTAATGTTCATCTCCTATATTTGTGCAACCTGATGTCATAGACCTTGAATATTTCAAACTTTGGATTCTGTTAGATCAAATAATCTAAGTTTGAAATATCTAAGGTTTTCACCACCAGGTTGCAAAGATATAGGGATTAGAAAATTTATATTGTGGCAAAGACTCAATTCCTGTGCAAAATTGTAATAACAAAATTCGCAATTTTCAGTTCTGGTCTAAGGAAAAAGTTGTTTTTCAAGTGCTCTCTGAGATGAGATTTTAAAAGCTTAAACCCGACTAAAACCCAATCTCAGGCTTAGATAGAACCCAAGTCAGGATTGGTTCTAATTCGACCAATGAGAGACTGTTTTGCAAGCATTCTCTCTGTAGCAGACAGAATGCCTTCAGATGAGCTATGACAAGATGATGTAAATTTCGAAAGTTCAAACTTTATGTAGATACATTATTTTCATAGTATATTTATTTTATATAATTAATAAAATTTGACACCACAAATAATTCCCGAGATTTTAAATTTACAAATATAAAAGATTTTACGAAATTTACAATCATCAGCTGCTGAAGACTAGAGCCTTTAAGAGAGAAAAACCCAAGATGATTGGTTCTTATTAAACTTAAAGCCATCCAAAACCCGGGTCTTGACTTGAGCTTTACTTGGGTCTAAGCAGACGAAAAGACCGGGTTTTAGTCGGGTTTAAGCTTTTAAAATCTCATCTCAGGTTTCAACTGAACAGCGTATATTTAAAACTTTAGAATATACTAATAGAAAGGAACTAGAGGATTTAAAGAACTTTTTTTTAAAGAATTAGACCAGAACTGAAAATTGCGAATTTTCTTTTAACAATTTTGCAAATTTTCCGTGATTCTGTATTTAATTTAATCAAATTTTAGTATTTCATAGCAATAATATAAATATAAATTTTTGTTTTTCTGAACTTTTAATTTTGAGAGTAAAAAAGATTAGCAGATTTTTTATGGGCCATTTGAATACCAAAAAAAAATTCGAAAAATATTGAATAAACACAATACAAAAATATCCAATTTTTGGAATTAAAGAAAAAACGATCCTTCGCTAATTCTGATTTTGATACATTCTTGTCAACAAATTATAAATAAAAACTGATTTTTTAAAATTATTTATTACTCAATAAAACTCTATTTTTCTAATCTTTAAATCTAGTAGATATTTGAAAATTTCAAACTGTAAGTTCTGTTGAATAAAATCAGGAGGAGAACTACTTGTACCAGGAGTATAACTACCTGGACCAGGAGGAGAACTACTTGTACCAGGAGTAGAACTACCTGTACCAGGAGTAGGACTACCTGTACCAGGAGGAGAACTACCTGTACCAGTAGGAGAACTACCTGTACCAGGAGTAGCCTGCACCAGGAGGAGAACTACCTGTACCAGGAGGAGAACTACCTGTACCAAAAGGAGAACTACCTGTTCCAGGAGGAGAACTACCAGTACCAGGAGGAGAACTACTTGTACCAGGTGTTTCGCTACTTAGCGATTTTCCTAAAGACCTAATATATGTACCGTGTGGTATTTCTCAGGATTGGATCATAAAACTACCTTCTCTCAACGCTCTTCATAATAAAAAGGAGGATAGTAAGGTTCCGAACGTTTATTTCTCTGAGCCTTCAATCTAAACAAGTTTAATAAACCCACAGAAAAAGCTTTGAGTGAAAATCATACAAATCTAACAAATAATCCACTCAGGCATTAAAAAACTGTGGCTAGGAACCAATAAACGAATACATAATCATCAAACATACTAGAATCAACCAATAAACATAGATATATATAAATAATTACCACGGTGATCCCAGAATTCTGAACACGGAAAATACTTGCAAAACGAATAAACATATACTGAATATAAATATCACTACTACTCCGCTAGAAATCTTGCGTCTGCGCAGTCGGACTGTAAACAGTTCCTAAACTAGTTTTTTCACAATACATTCCGTACAGATCTTCAGGAGAAACTCAGAAATAAGCAGGGGCGACAAACAGACTTTCTTCACGCAGCATGGCTCGCGTAACACCAGGAGTAGAACTACCTGTACCAGGAGGAAAACTACCTGTACCAGGAGTAGAACTACCTGTACCAGGAGTAGGACTACCTGTACCGGGAGGAGAACTACCTGTTTCAGGAGTAGAACTACCTGCACCAGGAGGAGAACTACCTGTATCAAGAGGAGAACTTCTTGTACCAGGAGGAGAACTACCTGGACCAGGAGGAGAACTACTTTTTACCAAGAGGAGAACTACCTGTTACAGGAGGAGAACTACCTGTACCAGAAGTAGAACTACCTGTATCATGAGTAGAACTACCTGTACAAGGAGTAGAACTACCTTTACCAAGAGGAGAACTACCTGTACCAGAAGTAGAACTACTTGTATCAGGAGGAAAACTACCTGCACCAGGAGAAGAACTACCTGTACCAGGAGGAGAACTACCTGTACCAAAAGGAGAACTACCTGTACCAGGAGGAGAACTACTTGTACCAGTAGTATAACTACCTGTACCAGGAAAAGAACTACCTGTACCAGGAGTAGGACTACCTGTACCGGGAGGAGAACTACCTGTACCAGTAGGAGAACTACCTGTTTCAGGAGTAGAACTACCTGCATCAGGAGGAGAACTACCTGTATCAAGAGGAGAACTACCTGTACCAGGAGGAGAACTACTTGTTACAGGAGGAGAACTACCAGTTACAGGAGAAGAACTACCTGTAACAAAAGTAGAAGTACCTGTATCAGGAGTAGAACTACCTTTACCAGGAGTAGAACTACCTGTACCAAGAGGAGAACTACCTGTACCAGGAGTAGAACTACCTGTACCAGAAGTAGAACTACTTGTATTAGGAGGAGAACTACCTGCACCAGGAGAAGAACTACCTATACTAGGAGTAGAACCACCTGTACCAGGAGTAGAACTACCTGTACCAGAAGTTGAACTACCTGTACCAGGAGTAGAACTACCTGTACCAGAAGGAGAACTTTCTGTACCAGAAGTAGAACTACCTGTACCAGGAGAAGAACTACCTGTATCATGAGAAGAACAACTTGTTCGAGTTGTAAAACTACTTGGTTCGGAATCGGACCCTGCAACAACATTACTGTTGTGAATCAGTTTCTTTTAGTTCTACAATAGTCCAATAGCCCGAAAGGAAAATTGCACTAGGATCTCCCTAGATGCTTGATAGTCAGCCTGGTACTTGAAATAAACCAGAGTAGCATAGAAAATAAAAAGGACCGATCTAATTAAAAATATGAAATTTGTTTACAAAAGGGTTTTTCTAATGTTTAATAAATTTAACTTATAATTTCAAAAAATTCGATTTTAATACATTTTTTAGCATGATATGAATCATCACTGATAATCTTCAGTTTTAATTTTTTCAAGTGGCACTTTAAATTAAGACGCACTGTTGATTAGTTAGGGCGCATTAATAAAAAAACAAGTTAAAGAAAACAGTTTTTATAACCTGGCAAATAGTAATTATTTCCAACTGATTAAAATTCTCACTCATTAACTCATTGACTCAGAAAACAACTTACTAGAAATCTTAACCTTTGACATAATGTTATTTTATGGCAGAATTAAAGCATTTTTTATTATTTTATAATTTAAGATAAAAAGATTAACATTACAGGCTCGGCTTTTAAGTTTAGCAACGCCTTGATCGTTGGTTTTTCAGGCATGTTCATTTTAGAAATAAAAAAATTGGAATTAGATTAAAAAAAATTGGCAAAAAGTTGAAATTTCTGAGTGAGAGTGTGGACATATGGGATTATTACTGTCACATTTTAAAACTATTCTTTGATTTAAAGGGACTGTAATAATTTTGAATAAAACTCTAATTAACAATGTTATCGTTTATAAATTAATTGTTCAATACTAATAAAGATAATGACGTTTTTCTTGCCTAAAAATTGTTTAATTCAGAAAACTTTCTAAAACATTAACCTTCTTTATTAGACAAACTTTTCTAGGTTTCGGTGCTAAATTGAGAAATGCTTAAAAGTACATATTCTGTATTTGAAAAATTGTTTTTTTGATAATAGAGATGTTTATTAAATGTAAAAGATAAGAAATGCTTAATTATAAGAAATGCTGATGTAGGAGATAAGAAATGCTTGAATGATATATAGGATAAGAAATGTTTGTTGGAATGATGCATAGGATAAGAAATGTTTGTTTGAATGATGTATAGGATAAGAAATGTTTGTTAGAATGATGTATATGATAAGAAATGTTTTAATGATGTATAGGATAAGAAATGTTTGAATGATGTATAGGATAAGAAATGTTTGTTTGAATGATGTTTAGGATAAGAAATGTTTTAATGATGTATAGGACAAGAAATATTGTAATGATGTATAGGATAAGAAATGTTTGAATGATGTATAGGATAAGAAATGTTTTAATGATGTATAGGATAAGAAATATTGTAATGATGTATATGATAAGAAATGTTTTAATGATGTATAGGATAAGACATGTTTTAATGATGTATAGGATAAGACATATTGTAATGATGTATAGGATAAGACATGTTTGAATGATGTATAGGATAAGAAATGTTTGAATGATGTATAGGATAAGAAATGTTGTAATGATGTATATGATAAGAAATGTTTTAATGATGTATAGGATAAGAAATGTTTGTTTGAATGATGTTTAGGATAAGAAATGTTGTAATGATGTATAGGATAAGAAATATTGTAATGATGTATAGGATAAGACATGTTTGAATGATGCATAGGATAAGAAATGTTTGTTTGAATGATGTATAGTATAAGAAATGTTTGTTAGAATGATGTATAGGATAAGAAATGTTGTAATGATGTATATGATAAGAAATGTTTTAATGATGTATAGGATAAGAAATATTGTAATGATGTATAGGATAAGACATGTTTGAATGATGTATAGGATAAGAAATGTTTGAATGATGTATAGGATAAGAAATGTTTGAATGATGTAGGATAAGAAATGTTTGAATGATGTATATGATAAGAAATGTTGTAATGATGTATAGGATAAGAAATGTTTTAATGATGTATAGGATAAGAAATGTTGTAATGATGTATAGGATACGAAATGTTTTAATGATGTATAGGAAAAGAAATGTTTTATTTGTATAAAAATAAAAAGGAAGATTGTAAACTATAAAAAATCTTTGGAACCCAATGTCATAAATCTTTGATATTTCAAACTTATATTATTTGATCTAACAGAATTCATAGTTTGAAATATCTAAGGTCTACGACATTGGAATCCAAAGATATAAGGCAAGATATAAGAAAAGCAGAGTTTGTGGCAAAGACTCAATTCCTTTGTTTTAAGCCATACAAAATTGAAATTAGGTCAACAATAATTGGGCTTACATTATGGCAATAACATCCTTTGATTGGTTAAAATACTTTGAGTAGGTTTTATAGCAAATTAGAAGTTCAGTTAATGACAGGAGTTGAGTCCAGCAGCATGTTATTAGTTTGCTTTACATACTTTTCAATGATGCTTGGGCTTATTCATGGAGATCATATAAGTAAGAAGTTTTTAGAAGTTTTGACATAAAATTTGTCATCTACATTACATGAAGAATGCTGTTATTGCAATGTTAATAATCTTGATATTACAAACCTCTTTTGTTTTTTAATGAAACTAAATAACGAGGATATATGATTTCTAATCAAATCAAAGATTGCGAAACTGTTAAAACATCCGGTAAATTCAATAAAACTGAGTTGTACTTCAACAAATATTAAGGAAAAACAACCCTTTAACTATTTTCAATAATTGATTTCTAAATTTATTTATTATTAAAAAATAATTTAAGACTTTATTTTTCCCTTCACAAAGACGCGAAGTTAATTGTTAATTGTTAATGGTTTATGAAATAGTTAACGGTTGTGAACACAGAATATGACATTTAAAAACATCAAAACATGTAAAAAAAAATTGTTCATGCAATGTTTAACAGAAAAAAACGGATTTCACTGTTTTAAAAAACATTTATTTTTTGTTTTTAACCATTAATTTTTTTTCAAAAACTTCTAATGGGTTTCATTAACGATGTAAAATTTAACGGGTTTTGCTGTGGGTTAAAAGACTCTTCCGTTAATTTTCAAAAACCTTCGTTTTGGTAACGGCTTTGCCCAGACTTATGTAGAATGCGTTCTTAAAATATTGAATCTTTTACTTAAAAAATCAGGTTTTTTATTATTATCCAAAGAATGGAACCAAATGGAAAAAATGCAAAAAAAAGAGGGACAAGTGTTTAAACTGTTAGGCCATGTCCTAGAATATGAATTTGATTTAACAAAAACAGAAACACTCCCAGTCCTGTTTACTTACTGACAAATCAGACTAAATAAAAGATATTTTATAATGTTTAGACTGTCACTGCAAATACATACCCAAAATAGGATGGGCAGGGTTATTTTTGGCCCCATCTGGATGTGCAATAGTACAACCACCGCCTCCTGGATTCAAATGTGAATGTTCTTACATATTTTTATGGACATGCAGTGGATCTGTCCAGAAATGTGACAATGAACTAATGTGCCTGGATCCAAGTACATCTAAGGATTATTGTGTAGGAGAGTGTAGTGGATACTACCAATGATTACAATCCCAATCTATCAATTTTATGATATGGAATATTTGTAATGTACTAATAAACATAAAATAAATATTTTTAATTTGATTAGTTCCAAAAAAATATTTAAATCAATAAAGACTTTTTCAGAATTATCTTAGAAATCAAGCTGAGAAGTTTAACTTTTTAATTAAAAAATCAAACTTGTTATTAACTTATTTTTTTAACCATACTACTGTCTAATCTAAGATTATTAATGTCTCAAATTCTAGATAGTTTAGGCTGATTTAAAAATAATTACTTTATATTTTTGTGTCAGCATTATAACTCAATTTCAGTATCAAGTACATATGTACTGAATGTTGAGTAGGGTTTCCAACACTGGATTTCAAAACTTCATGGAGTAAAAATGTAAAAAAAACTCTTTTACAATCATTTGCAGTTAAACACAAACAAATATTTTACTTGTAGTGCTAAATCTATTTTTTTTTGAGAACTAAAGGATATAATTTAAAAGATTAACTATATTTTACAGAACAAAAGATTTGAAAAGTATAATTTGTCTTTTACCAACGATGTTATATATTAAGAGCACTCAAAGTAATTGAAACAGAACAATTTCTCTTTTGCAGATAAAGAAAGAAGCTAAATTTTTTTTTTAGGACTTTGTTTTATCTACTTTATATTTCAGAACTAAGGTTGTCTTTTGCAGAAAAAAAATTTAAGTAGTTTTTGATTTTTTTGTTTGCCAAAAAATCAAGATAGAAATTTGACTAAAAATAACATAACATATACTTGATTGCTTTCAAAAGATTAACTCAAAGAATTTGAGTCTTTGCCACAAGCTCAAATTGTCTAATCCCAATATCTTCACAGCCTGCAGGCAGGTTAAATACATAAACCGTTAATATTTCAAACTTCGATTATTTGATCTAAAAGAATTCATATAATGAAATATCTAAGGTTTACGACATTGGGTTGCAATGATATAGGGGTTTAAAAATCAGAGTTTGTGGCAAAGATTCAATTCCTTTTTTATTTTCCATCTCTAGTTATATCATTATAATGAATTTATACTAAATGATTCAAACTATTCTTACTTTAAAAGAAAAGGATAGAGTTATAAAACTGCAATATGCATTTTTTTCTGGCAAAAATGCCAATTTTGCTTTTTTGTGTTATTCAACTTAAGCTTATCATTTTGTTCATTATCCTTATAATAGATTGTGTCTGTCTATTTTGCAATTTATTATGTAAAATTCTGGGAACTAATAAAAAAATATTTATTTGAAAACTAATTGAGATTGAAATTAATTGCAAAAACCTCTAAAAATTAATTTTTGCCTATTTATTATCATGATACAATTAATCTTAATTAATTGGAGTTTACAACATCAGCTGTAGACAGTAGACTGTAGACAGTAGACTGTAGACAGTAGACTGTAGACATTAGACTGTAGACAGTAGACTGTGGACAGTAGACTGTAGACAGAAGACTGTGAAAATTAATATTTTAACATGAACAAAATGGATTTTCTTGTTTACATAATCAAAGAAGATTTAATGTTTACATAAACAAAATCTAAATATCTGGATATTCAGTGCAGTCATAATGTCCAGAGATGTGATGATAATTTTCTTTTCCTTCACATGCATCCTAAACACAATAATATCATTAATTGTTTTAATCCAAATACTAAGTTACCGCCCAAAAAAGTTAAGAATTTAAATTTACTTTGAATTTACTCCTCTTTTTGTTTTTAATGAAGCCATAAATCTAAAAATTTGTTGACTCCATACTTAATTTTAAAAAATAAGTCCGCCATAATTAGTCGGAAAAATTAATTTTTATTTTTAGATAATTTTAATCTATATATAAATTTGGCTTGTCTGTCTGTTTGGGTGTCTGTTTGTTTGTATCCAATAAACGTCAAAACGGCTGAACCGATCGGGCCCAAATTTTTTGTGGGACATCAGGTGACCACAGGGAAGGTTTATGAATGATAAAAATTTTAAAAAATGTGTTTTGAAGGTTTTTAATTTTGTAAAAAAAATTGAATTCTTGAAAATCCGCGAATTGTTTTTTTGAATCCGCAAAATTTGTTTCTTCTTTGTCTTAAAGTGTAAACAAAAAGAAAATGTTCACAATTTAAATAGAAGATGGGCGCGAAGCCTAGTGTAAATACATTTTTGAAACTTTTAAAAACTGCTCAGCAACTTTGTTTTTGACTGTAGGCATTATAATTGAAAAAATTAATTAAATATTAGACTAGAATATATTTTAAGTTTTATTAACTAGGGGACTTTTTACAGAATTTTAAACAAAACTAACAACAACAAAAAATAGGTTGGTTAAGAATGATGGAGGAATGAAATAAAAAAAGTCAACCCACCCATCTTGACTTTTGCTGTAAATTTATAAATAATTTACCAAAAGATAACATTCTCCAGGAGAATCATCATCTAGTGTAGCCCAAGACCAGTATTGACAATCCTGTTTATTGATATAGTTTATTTTTTATTTATAGCCCAATTGTCAAGGTCAGATAATTGTAAAAAAAGATTAGACTGATAACTTTGATAGTTTGGGTGCTAGGGAAGGTTGAAAAAATGCCTAAAAAAGGGTCAAACAAATTTAAATTTGAATTTTTATTTTGTTTTAACAAATATTGAAGTCTAAGTTGTGACATCAATTTTTTAAGGGCTTTTAACAAATATAGTTTTAAGATCTGTAGTTTTAGTCACCAAAAAGTTATGGGCTATTAAACTTTTGTTGTTTTAAAACAGGCAAGTCTTTTTACTACCCTGTACCCCAAGATATTATTTTAATTTCTATTCATTTTGAGTCACAAAATTTAACAGTAATAGTGTCAAAAATGCATTGTGTGCTAGGACACACAATCTAGAGAGGGGGCATCTTTAATATTATTTTTTATACATTTTTTATTAATGATCAATAACAAAAACATGTTTGATATGGCCCATTTTGTAAAAACACTATGAAACTTTAGCAAACATGTTTTGAATAATTAAGCTATAAAGTTTACCCTGGCTGCCAAACATGTTTTGCCACATTCCTCCCAGGTGCTGAAAATAACCAAAAATCAATTTAAAAAAATTATGCTTTCTAATCTCTAAATCTTTGAAAACTGATGCATGGAAACCTTTTATATTTAAATCTTAGATTATTTGATCCAACAACAAAAATATCAAAAATAAAATATCAAAAGTCTAAAACAGAAATATATACAGGGTGAGTCAAAAAAGTGTGATTTAAGGCGCCTGGTGCAAAAGTGTAACTTTTGCTGTGCAACTCTTCTGTATGGTGTTTTTTTTAATGTTTTTTTGAAAATTTGTATTTTTTTCGGTACTTCAATGGCCCAAAAAAAAATCCGTGAACCTTTTTTTCTTTCAAAATCAAAAGTTCAGAAAAACAAAAATGTGTAAATAAACTGTTTCTATCGAAATCTAAAATTTTAAAAGATTGACTCACAGAATCTCAGAAAATTTGCAAAATTGTAATTAGAAAATTTGCAATTTTCAGTTCTGGTATAATTTTTACGGAAAAATTGTTTTTCAATGGTTCTCAAGGTTTCAACTGAACAGCGTATATTTAATACTTTAGAATATACTAAGAAGATAGGATCTAGAGAATTTGCGAATTTTCTTATTACAATTTTGCCAATTTTCTGTGATTCTGTAATTCAATCTTAATAAAATTTTAGATTTAGAGAGAAATAATATGAATGAACATTTTTGCTTTTCTGAACTTTTGATTTTGAGAGAAAAAAACGATTCACGGATTTTCTTTTGGGCCATTGGAGTATCAAAAAAAATTTCAAAAAATATTTAAAAGACACCATACAGAAGAGTTGCACAAAAAAGGTACAATTTTGCACCAGGCGCCGCAAATCACACTTTTTTTTTACTCACCCTGTAGAGATTAGAAAATATTGATGAAAAGAATAACTCAATTCTTTTTTTATGAATAATAATTTATGTAAATTGCAATTGTAACGAAAACTTCCAGAAAAAAATTAGCTTATTTCCCTGGTCCTAATAAAGAAAATCTTAATAAACAGGGTTGCCCAGAAAAAATGAGACTTCAGACACTTCTGATACTGTTTCCTAACATTCATGATTTTCTGTAAATGTCATTATGTCTTTGTCAAATAATTGAATAAGCTATTTAAAGAGCTCAGTAAAGGCATATGACGTAACTTAAGGCTTGGCCTCCTCGTATTTAAATAATTTATCGTTGTTTTAAAAGGGAGAGACTGGCTAGACATGGTAGTTGAGCTGAGAGTGAAGTAATTATAGAGAAATCTACAGAAATGTTTGTGAACAAATGAGATATTATAGAAACCAATAACTGAATAACACTACTTGTTCTTTGTGATAAGAGGTATTTTTTTTCTCAACCTGCTACTTAACAACTGATTAGTTAATTGTTGAATTTTAGTTACATTTTTGTGTGTTTTGTGTTATTGAATCATCTTTAAAAAAACGATTTAAAAATATATCCACCAAAGTAGACATTCTGGAAGAATTTTTAAATTAATTTTGTGCTTTTACTATGCAGTCTTACACCGTTCAAACGTCTTATTGGTATTTAAAAAATCCTAACAACATTTGTCTCTACAATACTGCACTCTCAGCTCAAATACCATATCTAGCTAGCCATTCCCTTTACAGTCTTAACCTTTGTGGGTAACCCTATCACTGAACTTGATTTTGTATATAAATGGGCATTGCTTTTTTGAACAAACAAAGATTTCTGTGAAAAATGGGGTTGTCTAGAAATAAATGCCAAGCCTCATTAAACAACATCAAATCACTCTTCAATCAGCAGAAAAAGTGATTGGATCTGAAAAGAAAGTGAAACCAGAATGGATCTCAGATAACACCTAGAAAAAAATTGAAGAACGGAGTGAATTGAAGGAGAAAATAAACCAAACATGGTCTGAGAGGTTAAAGAAAAGAATAAGCCATAAACATCCACAGCAATGAACAAAGAAGTCAAAGCAAGTACAAAGTTGAGCAAGCAAAGTTACTTTGAAGGAAGGGCTGAACAGGCCAAGGAGGCAGCAAGAAGAGAAATGGGCGCAGAATGTCCAATATGAATGATCACTAAAGAACTGTATGGGAAGAAAACATGCAGTGTACCAGTCAAAGGGAAGGATGGCAAAGTAGTGTTAACCTGGTAGAACCGGATGAACCTGCAACACCAACAGTAGCGAAGAACCAACTTAACATCAATACAGACCCTCCAACACTGAAAGAGGTCAGAGACGCTATCCAGGCAAAGAAATCTGGTAAAACAGCTGGGTAGATCTTATGAAAGCATTTCTCCATCAACTCTTACAGGAGGTATGGATGGATGAAGAGATTCCTGATGACCGGGACAATGAAATCATAATAAAGCTACCAAAGAAAGGAGATTTGGGCCAGTGCGATAACTTGAGGGGAATAGCTTTAGTATCCCTTCCCAGCAAGGTTTTTTGTTGAATCTTACTTAAAAGAATAGACAAGGAGATTGATCAGAAGCTTAGGGAGAAGGAAGCTGGATTCAGAGCCAACAGAGGGTGTTATTGGCTTTCTGTCGTAACACCCTGAGGAGTTGTATTTTATCCATCCTCTCTTGTAAAGGACCTGTCCCCAACTGACCTATACTTCCTAAAATCCTTGTGTTCTAGGAGGGGGGGGGGGAATTTGTGTTTCAGTTAGTTCTTACCCTTCACCGTGACAAGACCTGAGTGTGTGTGTGTGCGCTCGGTCATCTGGCACTAATTATCTATAAGTTTATGTATAGATAGTTCAGTCAACAATTTATACAGGGTGTATAAAATGGCTGGTAGGAAAAATGCAAACCATGAAAAACCTCCAAAAAAATCTTAATAAACCCCAACCAGAATTTACACTGGGAATTTTTTTAGATCTTAAGAAAGCTTTTGACTGTTGCAACTTAGATATTCTTTTAAAAAACAGTTATATCAGTTTTAAAGAACAGTTATATCAGTAATGAAACTAGATGCCTTCAATGATAACTGCCCACAAAGAATCTTCAAAATAGTTTGACCAAACCAAATTACAAATGAGGAGCTCTGAGATAGAACCAAATCCAGACCAGTCACAATATAGGTCTAGAGAAGAAGGCAATATTGTTGGGGACATACACTATGCATGGAGCAGGACAGGATCCTTAAAATGGAACTGAGAAAGACCCCTACGGGAGGAGAAAGAGAGAACGGTAAAGAAGCATGATGATGAAGCATGAAGGAGGAGCAGAAGACCCCTGAAATGAGCTGGGGTGAAGCCTAGCTGTTGGTAATGGACAGGAATAAGTGGTGGGCTACTGTGGAATCGGTTTTATGTCAAGACTAGCTAAGAGGACGTAAGTAAGTCAGAAAAGAAATGAACAATTTGGACAAACATTTAGATTGATTAGAGAAATGGAAAAATATAACTTTTTTAAAAACATGCAAAAAGAAAAAAAAATGATTTAAAATCTTTCAATGGTTTTGGTCATTTATATCATGAACTGATGATTTTTTGAAAAGGAAATAATCACTTTTTTAATAAAAAAATATCGTTATTAAACAAACATTTTTACTGAACAAACAATTTTACTGAATGACCCTTCAGTGAAGAAACCAAGGAAATATATGGAAAATGATCAATAATCTTAAGAAAAAACTAGCTCAATTTCTTTTAAAGGGACTGTAAAGGAAAAATGAAAGGGGGTATAGGCTGAAACCTAAGCATTTTAGGAGTTGATCCAGATCCATGAGAGTGATTTATAATGTTCCTGTCTCAAAAATTTGTATAAAATGGTGTCTAATTTATGAAAATCTATGAACATGAAATTTTTTATAAAAAATAGTAGATTTAAACAGATCATATTAAACAAATACACAACCAATCTGAAAACTATGATATCTAAGGAGAGCCTAAATAACTTAGTTTTGCTCCTATTATTATTTGAATTTAATAATAATTGATAATATATTAAATATGTCAGTATCGTGTGATCAGAACTCCCACTAATGCCAGTGCAGTATCATTATCATATGACTTCGCTGCATCACATGACCAGTATACTGCAATGCCATTGGTGGGAGTTCTGGTCATGTGATACGAACGTATAAATAATTTTATTAATTAAGAATGTTGCATCTTTCCGAATTTGTATAAACACTACGTTCTTCGGTGTGAGTCGTTTTTAACAATTTTCTCCTTATAGACGCAACAGATAGAAGTGCGATTAGTAGCAATCAAAAGCGCTTTTTTATCGCATTGAGCCTATACCCCCTTTCATTTTTCGCGAACACTCCCTTTAAGTGGTTTTGAATTGTTCAAGATTTTGACAACATTTTATTATTTATCAATTTATTTTTAATTTAAATATTTCTTTTAACAAAACTTGAAAAGACCAGTGAATTTTTTCTCTGACAGTTGTATCTTTTTTTAATCTGATCATACATCTGTTTTCTATTCTTCTCTTTTAAATCCATGCATTCTAATCTCTTGTAGACAAGGGAAGAATGCATTTTGAAACATATTCATTCTATTATTTCAACATTTTCTTTCTAAGACTTTGATAATAAGTGCTAGTAGCAAACATTTCTTTCAGACAAAGAAGATTTGGAAATATATTAGAAAAATCAGAATATAATCTTTTAAATGTTGAAAATGAAAGCTTGAAAATATAAATTTTAATTTAAATCATGAAAAAATAATGTGTTTATTTGTATTAGAATTTGAGGCATTACTTGCCAGCTTATGAACTGCAAAAAAAATATTTATAAATAGTAATGCTGAAATATGACAAATTTAGTTTGCTAATATTGGCTTCCGAATTTATCTCCAGTGCACATATAAATTTCACTAGAAAGGGATTCATTTTGCTTACTTTACTTTAGATAGTCTTAACTGTACTGTACACTGTAAAGCTTGCTCTTTCTGATTAAAATTCGGTCCGGTAAATGATGAGCTGAAGTTTACAGAAAACAATAGAGTAAAAAGTAGTCTAAAGTGTTACTAAAGTGAAATTGATGTTATACCAAAGCTAATAAATTTACTAGACACTTATTTAGTGAAATGGGTCTGTTCACACTGCAGAATTTCTGTGTCTCATGTTCATAGGATTTGTTTAAGCAGTTTTTATTTTAAACGTCGTCTTCCACTTTAAAAGTTTTCTGATTATTACTGTATATAATCACACTCTCGGACAACATGCTTAATTTTAAAAAATACCTTCATTTAATGGAGAAGCAAGAGTCACCCCATATACAAGACAAAGAACAAAAAATGTCTTAAAATCCATGTTACTGTTTGATTATCCACGTAAATGTTCTAAAAACAAATGACGTTGCTTTGCTTTATATGCACACAGTGTTTGCTTTGAGATAATATATCATAAAAAAGCAGATAATTATAAAATAAAGATGCTGGAACCTATTGATTTTTTTAAAAATTTTATTGACAATAACGAAGGGTCGTCGTTAACGATCGATAACAAAGGATTCTCGTTAACAATAGTTAATGAAACAACGAACTTTATAAAAAGAGTTGTTTTTGGGAAAACGATCGTTTTTGAAAAAAATGTCATGCAACTTTATTGAATGTCGTCTTACATGAAGATAAACAGTTGTGAGGGAACTAAAACTTCTTGATATTTTCTACTCAATGATACGTACAGATGCCCTTCAGGTCGGTTTCCTCTCTTTGTTAACGATCGTTAACGATCGTTAATGAATTATCATTGTTAACGATAGGTAATGAAACAATGAGTTTTATAAAAACGATTGTTTTGAAAAACAATCGTTTTCAAAAACGAATTTTTTAAAAAAAATTGTTTTGTTTTCGATTTTTTTTTGTCGTTTTCATAACAAAATGATCGTTTTTCAAAAAAATGAAAACGATAACATCCCTAGCAATAAGAAGAGATAAGGGTATATTCTTCGTAATTAAAATGTTTACGCTAAACTCTCAGATTCATTCCTACATCTGAAACATCTCATCAAACAAATGAAACATGACAAAAAACTTAAATTGTCTAATTTTATGACCACTCAAAACTCATAAACACTTTGACCAATTCGCCTGAAATTTTGAATAGTGAACTTGGGAGAACCACAGTAATATTCTTAGTTTGGCTTTCAAATTTCCAGTTGAATGGGTTGACTTTTAAAGGGGTAAATCCAGGCATAGCTGGAAAGGTTTTTCTATAAAAAAAGAATATGTACTATTTGGTATTTGGTAGCTAAAATTATAGTATACAATATTGTACAATGTACAAACACCATGATGTGCACAAAGTTATAAGAAGGCGAAATTTTGTTAAATACAATAGTCAAAAACAAAAATATTATATATTTTTTAAATTTTAATGTGAAAGTGTCAAAAATGAAAGTAGTAGGGAAAAAAAACTAAAGCTCGCCCCCCTCAGCCTTTTTATTGCTAAGAAAATCTTTTTTTGGTCAGGTTTTTAGATTTACGAAAATGTTCAATATGACATTTTGAAGCAGTATGATATCTCAAGAAATCAGTAACAGAAAAAGAAATTTTAAAATTGAAAGTTGTAAAATTTATTTTAGATATGAAAACAAACATTATTGAATATTATCAAAATGAATTCTTTGTTTTTAACAAGATTAAATTTTGAATATATTCAAGTAAGAAATCATTATCATTGATGGCTGACTGCAAAACTAAAATTAAAACTGTTAACTTCTGCAAAATTTATTTATATTGATTTGAGTTTAGATTGATGTAAATCACTTTTTTATATCTAACTCAGAAAACAGGACACAGTTCACATGTTTTTCTGTTCAATGAAAAATGAATATTCTAAATTATACAAATAAAATCTGAAAATAATTGCTGTATAAAACTTTTGAGTGCACTGGATAACATCAAAAGCCTAAGGGGAAATATGATAAACTTTATTGATCATTTCTATTCCTTTCCATAAATATAATAAAAAAATATATTTTAATACATTTCACAAAATAACACTCTTTCAAGGGCGCTTTGCGATTCTTTTAATTCTAAACATGAGAGTGCTAGATTTTTGTCCTAGTACTCTTATTTTTTATATTTGACATGTGTTGACTTATAAGAAAGTATGGTTTGAAATATGCAAAGGTAAAGAACGGTAAAAATGCCATGCAGTTAAAACAAAATCTTAATTTAAGACATGAAGTTCTAAAAACTACATTTTTAAAAAGCCCTTTTAAAACATGCATCCAATCTTATAATTCAAAAACAAGACAAAAAAATCTCGACCTTTAAGAGCGATCGTTTTAAAAAAAGTTAATCGTATAAAAAACGGTCGCAAATCGTTTTCATAAAAACGATAGTTTTTAAAAACGATCGTTATTCGTTTTCTAAAAGTTCAAAATGAGTGGGTCGTTTTTAAAAAAGAACTTTTTTTCCAAAAACTAAACGATCGGTTTTAAAAACGATTGAAAAACGAAACAAAAAACGATCATTTAACGATCGTTTTCAAAAACGATTAACAACCCTATGCAAGTTTGCAATCCTATACCCTTACTCTAAGGCCTTTTTCTAGCTATACCCTCCAGTCCTGTATAGAGATAAGTAACAATTTAGCTTAAAACTTCTACTTTTGAATTTGCCAATCTTATTCATATTTCTATTATAAAACAACAATTTTTACGCATTTTTCTGTTCTTGCTTGCCACAACAAATAGAGCCCTGTCACTTCAGCTGTTTTGAGGTTTATTGGATGCATGACAAGCCAATTATATGTGTAGATAATCTATTGCAAAGAGAATACTGCAGTAAAACCATTAAAAGCATTTTTGCATTAGACAAATTTAATTTACGTATGTTTCAAAATAAAAATGCTAAATTTTCACACTGATCTCAATCATTAAAAACATTAAATTCATGAAAATGTGGTCAGTTGTTTAATAGTACAAACAAAATATTAATTCTAACAGTAAATAATGAGAAGTAGTTTGAATACATTTTTATGTAATTATAAATGTAATTTAGTTAACAGCATGCTACTTCCAGAATAATTAGGCTAGTTTATCTCAGATAGAATATAATTTAATATATTAATGAAAAACCTTATATTAAAAAATCTTCTCTTTAGTTACATCTAAACTTGCAAATCTTTTTAACAATAAAACATGAACAATGAAATGTCGTCTTCGTTTTCTACTTTTTCTGCGGACCACTGTATTTCAGAGAGACCCCAGCATTTTATACAAACAGTGCACAGGGCCCCCCCCCCAAAAAAAAAAAAATTCTCTTTTGTAACACATCCTGAGGGTGTCCTCAAGAAACATCTTTAGGACGTCCTGACAAGATCTTCACAAAACACTGTCACATCAGGTCCTACAAAGGGTCCTCCCCCAAAAAAATAATCTGTGGAGGAGAACACTTGAAAATTGCCCCCTCCAAAAAAAATTTTTTTTTAGGGAAACCTGTGTACTCCCTGACTTCACAGCAACTTCTGAAGAACCAGACATGATGTCCTAAAGATTCTTCTTGAGGACAATTCCAGGGTTGCCTTAACTAAACAATAAAATATCAAATGCTCAGATGCAACTGATTGTTTATATTTTTGGCGAAACTGTATTGACTGGGCCTGTATTGATGATTTCAGATGAAACCAATCCATTTCAACTGATATGTTTGCACAAAACAGGTTCTTGGGATGCAATACATTTATACACATAGAAACAATAATATATTTCAATACCTCTGGTGAAATTGTGTTTGTTTGTTAAAATTAAAATTTTGTAAAATTTAAATACTTTAATAAGTTTCATTCCAAGCCTTAATCTCTAAAAGATAATTTTCATTAAATTTAGTTTAATTTTAAGATAATAAAGTTTCTCTCTTTTCGCTAGATGTAGTTACAATAGTTTTATGGCTTAATGCTTAAGGTATAAATATAAAAACTGTTACTGCGACTCGATAATTATTGAGAAATTGTAGGAGTACATGTGCATTTTATTTTTTTAATATTGAGGTTTAAAGACCTTCAAAACATGAAATTATTATTCAAAATAATATAAATATCAATTTTTTTGCGAGAATGATTTGTTAAAAACAGTCTGTTCAGGCCTCATTTATTCTTTTGTTAATGTTCTTTGACTGCCCCTGATTGGGATATATACATAATTTTTGACCAACATCTTGTAGAAGGGGGGGGGGGTCAAAACGGGCAATATTAATCAGTTAACAAATCAGATAGTTATGTTTACCCAAATCAAAACCAAATTATTTATATTTATATAAAAGAATTTACGTCAAACAATGGGAATAAGTTTCATTTTATCTGTTCTTACATAAACATATTCATGTGGTCTCAATGTAAACAAGTTGTTTAGTTTCAACGAGTTTAAACATACAATGGGATCAAAGAAACAAATTTAAGCCTATTTCAAGATTATTCTCAAAATATGGTCAAAGTGCTTATTTGAAACACATTTATTTTAACCAATTTTAGTATGTAAAACATTTTAATTCTTCAAAATGTATAAACCAGTTTAAAAAGTTGTTTAGATATCCATTTTGTAAATAAAAATTTCAAAGTTAGAATTTTTATGTTAAATTGTAAATCAATTGGACTCAGAATTTTATGTTAAAGAAGATAACTGTTTTTTAACAAAGTGGGAATAATTTATTTTCATATTTTTTACAAATTACAATCTTTAAGCAACTTGTCATTGACTCATATTCACTTTATCTAGTTCATAAATTTAACTATACTGTATAGTATGCATACCCCCTCCCCCCTGAAAGGGTAATATACAATTCTAAACATAGTTGTTACTGGCTTATACTCCGGATATAAATTAGTAGAATTTAGATTATTACTCGAATTCTGAATCTGCTGGTTATATTCATGAATTCTGCTGTAACTCTGAAAAAAGTTTGATATATCTCTATAGCCTAATACTGCATTCAACTAGGCTCAAGGTGATTTAAGAGCACCCCCTAGGACTAGCACTCAGAATGCTGATCCACTATATCTGCTCTTGAATTAGGTTAAAGTTGGAGGTTTAGGAAGTTATTTAGTGGTGTCAAGCGATCTTTTTGCTGAAAATCCCTGGTTTTCCTCAGGTTTCATACATCTTTCCGATGTGTATGGGATTTAGGATAAATTATCCCATTATTAGCCATTAAATCTATAGTGTGGTTGGAGATTTTTCATTGTTCTCCAGTTGTTGAGTAACTAGAAAGCTGGATTAATACTTCATAACTCTTTTTAATTATAATTCCTCTGTTTCATTATTACCCTCCAGTTTATGAATGGTTTGACTCAGCATTCCAGCACTTCAGGATACAGCTTTCTCAGCGCCTAGGATAGCTAGAGAGAGAGGTCTTACACAGACCATGATCTAAGATCAACTGTAAAATGGACAAGTTTTAATTAAGATAAATCGGAAAAGTATGCATAGAATATGAGATTGAGAACCAGGATTAGTGAATAGAGATGACGCTTATCAGAACATTACAGCACTTCTCAACAAACAAAAACCCATGAAGAACACAAGATTATCTGGTGTATTTCATAGGAGTGGCTTAAGAATAATCTGTGATAATTCACATGTTGTCGAGTTGAATGTCGACGATTTGATCACGGGTCTAGGACCGAGTTTTTGCATGGAGAAAACTTGAGTTTATATCACGAGATGTACACGGGATTTTACATGAGAACATTATTTTTCTCCCATCCACTTAAATTGCATTTTTTAGTATTGATTAATTTTTGATAATAAATATGTTATAGAAAATACTGTGTAAAAGTATATAATCATTATAAAATGTTTAGAACTAAACACTTTAGTTTATATCTTTTACATTAAACATCTTGAGGATCTAAACTTCAAAAAATCAATATTCACATAGTGATATTTTAGTGATAATGTTCAACTATGTTTATGTATTCATACTTACAAGAATGTCCCTTCCTTTATATATAAAAGATTGATATTCCAAAAAGGGGTTGTTGAGAAATACAATACAAAATTCAATGTGAAATTTCACTACTCTGCTCATGCTTGTTATAAACTGAAAAATTTATGTCTGTTAAAATATTTTATTTTATTACAATAACTTTTAGTTTCTAAAAGATGAGAAGAGACACCAAGTGTTGTGATTTTGCATCTCTATTAAAAATGAAACATGAAGTTCTTCCCATAATATCTCAGATTGGGAATATGCAAGATTTTGCACTGGTATCTGTACTACGAGCACAAAATGTGAAAAAAACGACAAGAATTGAACTTGAATAATCTCATATATCTTACATGTGATAATTACACGAATTAAAATCTAGATTCCAATACTCGTGTTTAAAACAATAGGAATATGCAAGATCTTGCACTGGTGTCTTTGCTACGTGCACAACATGTAAAAAGACAGCAGTAATTTTTTAAGAATATTTCCGCGTTCTTTACCCGTGCTTTACACAGGAGGAATCTTCAAGATTGTGAAAAGTAAATATACCACGAGTATAACATAAGGAGGGGTCGTGAATTAATTATGTGCATTATCTACTGTCTACTGTCTACTGTCTACTGTCTACTGTCTGCTGTCAACTGTCTACTGTCTGCTGTCTACTGTCTGCTCTCTACTGTCTACTGTTTACTGTCTACTGTTTACGGTCTACTGTCTACTGTCTACTGTCTGCTGTCTGCTGTCTACTGTCTGATGTCTACTGTCTGCTGTCTACTGTTTACTGTCTATTGTCTACTGTCTACTGTCTACTGTTTTTAATTAAAATTTTTAGCTAAAGAATGTTGTTTTATTTCTAAGGTTCGAATGTTATTAAATGTTTTTGTTTTGTTAGAAGAAATAATGAAATTTTTAATGCCATGGGTACACGGCGGTAAAAAGTCTGGTCTGTGACTATAGTTACAAATCTAAATATTTTTTTTTTAAAAAGCCCTTGAAAAATTAATTTTTGGCATTTTTTAACCCTTCCTAGCACACAAACTATTTTTTTTAATTAGTTGTCCTTGAAAAATTTGGCTATGAACTGAAAATCCATGTTATCCCTATACCTATTATCTAAAACCTTTTTCTAGTGGGGGGCATGGGACGCCCCCCTCCCCTCAGGCTATATATATATAGATTCAGCCCCCCCCCCCAGCCTTTAAATGGTTAAAGTGTGGAGACCCATAGATATCGTCTTCCAGTCTGGAAGCTCAACTAACCAAACTAAATATATTTGATAGTACCTTAAACCCATGTTGTAAGTTAGACTTCAATATATATGTCAGTTAGTCATATGGGTTTTTTCAAAAAATCCAAATATAGCCAATACCTTTTTTCTCTTTAGCAACCAATGTAAAACTTACAATCATAAAAAATATTTAATGATATTTTAGCAGTACATTGGTTTGACTTTCTTAAACTGGGTAAGTTTGGTAAACAATGTTTTATTTTTTTGTCAAAAAGGTGTATTTATGAGACAAGATTACATATATGTTAAAAAAATTTATTTTATTTGGTCAAAACAATTGTTATGTATTCCTTAATTATTGTTCAATAATCATGCTTTTGTTTTGGGTATAACAATGGTCTAAAAATATATAAAAATATATAATTTAGGTCAAAATTTTTTAACATTTTATTTATGGTGATTATATTAGTAGAGTTGCATTTTTCCTGCAAATCAAATAAAATTCTTGTATGACATAGGAATCTGTTACATTTTTTGTTCTACACTAGCACCAGTAGTACTCACAAACTTCCCAACTGCAATCCCAATAATATTCGTTCAGGTAGTAATCATAGGTTGCTAGACAATCATCCACACAAGTATAACACTCAACATAGTTTGCCGATTTTGACCTAAGAAATGATATAAAGAGATTAAGGGTCGACGAAACAAAAATAAACTTGTGAAATGAAATTTAAATGTAAGAAAAGGGTTTGAACAAACTAACTTACTTTGTAGGTTTCGTAGCTCCGTCTATTTTTTGTTCCTTATTCAAGATTTTTTTCCCATGCTCATTTCTCTTGTCAGCCTAATGAAAATAGTAGAATTTGGATAAATTGGAAGTAAGAAAGGCAAGAACATTGTTAGCATGTTGGCTTCAGAATAAAAAAAATCATTTACAAAAGAATTATGAAAAAATCACTTGCCATGCAGTAAGCACATGCATCTTTATTCAATAATGGCAATGTCCTTTAAACAATGGTAAACATACAGGAAATATCTGAATTATATGATTTAAACCTAGAAAAACGAAAATGTTTTCCACATAATTGATTATAAAGGTTACATGGGTACCATTGTGAATTGGGCACTGAACTCTGTGTATGGAGGATCACTTGAAGTTATGGCTATAAAAAACATTTTCTAAATGTTACCCTTGTAATAAGTTTTCCCCTAGATAACCTCAATGGTTTCTGAAACCACAAATCCAACCAGCTTCCACATCTACCATCAGAACTACACCAGCTGTACGCAGGACAATCATCATCTGTACCACAGGAGATCTCTTCGTCAGACTTTAGTTCAATGGCGTTTTTGTCAGTTATGTCAGCTGAAGCATCATGAGCATGTGACCCTTCTTCAGATTTAGTTTCACCATCAACATTCAACTTATAAATCTCAAATGGATCAAAGATAGCCTAAACATTTAGTAAATAAAGGTGCAGATATGAATGCTGGAGCCAAGGTTACCAGAAAGTGCTATGAAATACAGTTATTTCTTTGATTTTAAAACTACCATGATCGATACATTTTAACACCTTGATGAAGAGAAAAAAGGAATAGTTACCACAGGTACAGTTTTAGTGTTGTATAGATGTAATTTTAGAGTAACTGATATTCTAGTGATTATGATTTGAGCAATTATATCTGCAGTTAAATATAAGTTTAAATATGTAAAAAATATATATATTGTTAGTTAAAAATGTGCTAAAAATATTTTTTGATAAACATAATTTGTGTGTGTTCTCTTTCCAATTTTAATCATATTTTTGTTATTTTCTATTTTTCCATTTTGTTCTTATTTATGAAAAACAAAAGTACACACCTTATCATGCACAAATTTACATACTCCATATGCACTACAGTACATAAATCTATCACAGTAGAAATCCAAGTTTCTACTAATTCAGAATATTTTAAATATTTTAACGTTTTACCTTTAAAAAAGTATAATCAGTTTTTGTCAAATTCTGTAGTTAGAATGCTTCATTTCTATTAAAAAAAAGCAGTTTTATACGCACCTTATCTTCCGCATATCTACAAAATCCTTGTGCATTACAGTACATAAATCTATCACATTCTGAATGTTGTGTACATACAGAGTTCCAAGCCCCTGGGCCAGCTTCTCGTAAACCTGAGCTGCCTCTTATAGATATTGATGAAATCCTCTTAGCTCCAGTGCTACTTTTCTTCACACCAGAGCCACTACTTATGGCACCGTCAGTTTCAGCTGGATCAGTTAGGATAGCCTAACAATTGTTGAATGTATAAATACGAGTTTAAACTGTAATCTCCATATTTAATAAAATAATTAATTTCATTGAACAATTTAAAGTTTTACCTTTCGAAAAGTCAATAATTAGTGTTTTGTCAAATTTTGTTGTAAGAATGTTTTTATTTTTAACAAGCTCTTTTACTCACCTTATCTTCCACATATCTACAAAAGCCATGTGAATTACAGTACGTAAATCTATCACAGTCTGAATGTTGTGTACATACAGAGTTCCAAGCCCCTGGGCCAGCTTCTCGTAAACCTGAGAAACCTCTTAAAGCAGCAGAGTCTAAAAATGGGCGAGTTTTTATTCTTTACATGTCCCGTAAATTTGTTAAATTAGTTGGTTTTACAATTGTCTTTCTTTTTCCACCTATTAGGTTCGTTTTTTAACAGAATGACCATTAAATCAAATATTTCGTTCAGTAAAATAGTTGGTTTAGTATAAACTTTTTTTAAAAACTGGTCTGATCCCATAAAAATATTTCCGCTAAAATACCAGCTGTTTCATACCTGAATTCCTTATAGAACCCTCTACACTTTTCGCAGCTTTTAGTGGATTCGGATAAAGATCCAGTCCTGGAAAAAACTTGCCCTCCCTTTTTTCTTAAAAAAAAATAAAATGTGGAACCATTAAAAAGTCATTTTGTACTCAAATCAGTTTTGAATTAATTTGCTTCTTCTTATAGAAATTAATTGTAAAAACAAAATGTTTGTACATTTGGGTAGGTTACAGATTAAGGTTTTCAGCGCACGAAATGATACACGTCCAATGCGAAATTTTTGTTTGCATTTTGCAAACTTTTAAGCAAAATATTGCAATTTTTCGCGAAAATGAATGCAGCGAAAAATGGGAAAACGAAGCATAATGTTTGCTAAAGCCATAGATGTTGAAGCTTTTTAATGATTTTTTTTCAAAAAATTTTCAGATTGTTTAAAAAATTCTGAATTTTTTTCACACAATTTTGCATTTTTTAAGTGAAACAAATTAAAGCAAAATTTCGTGAAAAAAGCGAAAATTTTCGCCTTTTATTGCGGGCGAACGAAATTGGAAATAAATTTCGCATTTTTCCCGAAACAATTTTTCTTTTTCGCTGGCAACCCTTGTACAGATCTATGAAAGATTGTCACAGAAAAATGTAAGAAAAATGGACTTGAAAGATAATTTATTGATGAAGTTAGAAACAAACTTTATTTATTGATGTCATTTTGATTCTGTCCTTTAGCATAACATACTAGATTATGCAGTGCGCGTTTACCTCAATGTTTCCATTTAATTCCCTTTCAGATGAAAGATGAATTGTAAGTTTTGAAGAAACGTATTAATTTAATTGCACAGATATAAGGAAATTTGAGTTTGAGGCGAGTAATATAGTTCCTTGAGCGAAGTTTGGGGAATTGCTTTCAATTATATATTTAGAAATTTTTACCTTGAACATTTAAGGACAAGGAGCATGCAAACACCTGATATACAATATAGTCAAATAAAATATAGAAATAACATTAAGTATAATATTATGAAATCATAAAATTGAAAAAAAAACATGTAAATGCCGTAATAATGATAGTAAATTAATTATAATAAAAAAGGTAATAATTTCAATAAATTAATTACAGTAATAATATTCATAATAAAAAAAATATCTGTGTACATCCCCTGGTCCCAATTTACACCTTTATTTACACAGTATTTAATATTCCTTGTGGGATGACTTATTTCTCTGAAAGAAAGTTTACATGATATGAAGTGCTTAAAATTCTTTTATAAGAAAGAAAAAGTTTAGTTATAAGGCACTAGGCTCATTTGAATGACTTTTCAATAGGAAATACTTATGCGAGGTTTAATACTTTTGGGAATTGGGAGGCGGAAATACAGTGTAGCCTGGTAGGCAAAGAGAATAGAATACATACTAGAGGGGAATTTACTAGAAAAAAATGTAAAACGGCCATTTTGTTGTACTGTTTCCGTACTGCATGTGTACTTCACATATTTATGCTATATAAACTTTTGGGCCCTGGAATATCATTTTATAGAAAATCTAAAATTGATATTAAAAGAAAACCAAATGATTAAAAATTCAAAGTTGACCAATGATCATTATACATAGACTCTATGCCTTTACAAACGATGATTTTCCGTTATAGTTATAAATCAAATGATGTTTTTTATTTACCTAATTCATTAAAAAGGTTAATTCACAGCTTTAAAAAATTCGAAATTGAAATGGATAGTCTAGGGAACACACTGTAATTAATGTACTCTACTGCATATAATTTGTGAACATTTACATGATTTGTACACTTTTAACTCCCTTTCAGCCTGAAAGGGACTGAAAAATTCATACCGAGAGATTCTCTATATAATTCCCCTCTAATATATATTAATAATAATAAGGCAGACATCTCTGCTGCATAAATCCAAAGTTAAAGGGAGTGACCGGCAATGTAAGGTGGTTGAACTTAGATTGTAGTATTGTAGAGAATTTTTTCGGATTCATTTGAGACATAAAAAACGTTTAAAAAAAGATCTATAATTACTGTGTTTGAGCGCAAAGTCGACGTTCAAAATTGTCAATTTGGGTGGATATGTTTTTAGAATTGATTTTTTAAAACTACGCGAAAAATGTTACACAAATTCTCAAATAAACTTATTAGTTGAGAAATAAGAATTAACTCTAAAAATAAGCAATTTTATTTCATTATTAGTTTCTGTCACTCTAGTATGCCGAGTCCATTAGCGCCTGATCCAATCAGGGTTCAGCCATGTGTTTGGAGTCTATTCTGAACTAATAGAAATTGCATAACGGTAACGTCTGTCTTTCTATCTATCTCATTATCATTGGACATCAAAATATTTCATTTGTTTCTTAACTAACATTTTACTAAGATCCGAAGGATTTACAGAATTTTTTAGTGGGGTGGGGTGGAGAGTGTGTGACACCAGTTCTCGTTAGATCACTGAAGTTAAGCACACTTGTCCACAGCCAGTAACTGGATTGGTGTCCAGGCTGGTGTTCACGGGTTCGATTCCCGTACTCCACACAAACCTGTGGTTTCAAAAACATCTGAAGCCGACATCTGGTTTAGCAGTTATGACCACCTGACGGATGTAGGAGGACAGAGGGGCGGCTGTCAACAACTCTCGCAGCGAAAGGGTGCGTGCTTTCTGCTCAACAGAAAGAAGCTTCAAGTGGGATTGATCCAAGTGAATGACGATGAAGAGAGGAATGGTGGACAAGCAGGGAGAGTCTATGGTTGCCAGCTATAGGTACCTGGGGGTATCCAATCCGGGCTTACAGATGTTAGGGAGCAATGAGTGTGATGTTTCCTATCAGTACGGCACCCGGGCCTCATTCCAGTATATCAGAAGGATTCCTGCACTCTATATTCTCAGGCCTAAGAAGAATCTTAGGCAGCTGGAATCTTGTCAACCCTCTTCTCAGAATGAATGAAGCGTGGATGGATGAATGTGCTGCCAGATTACAACCCCTGGTAGATCAATATAAAAACCCAGAAAACACCAAACTTTCGCAATAGAAAAAAATTCCGAGATTTGATCGTAACAACCCGATCATGTCCTGGGGACAAAAAAATCTCTTTTAAAAAAATAAAAAGTTTTTTTTTCTCTCATTCTTAAAGGGAGTGACCGGCTATGTAAGGTAGTTAAACTGAGTATGCAGTGATGTGGAAAACTTCTTTCGGATTCACTTGAGACATATTAAACTTTTTAAAGATCCGTAAATCCTGAGTTTGAGCGCAAATTCGACGTTCAAAACTCCTACTTTGGGGGTGGATACGTTTTCAGAATAAGTTTTTTTAAATTATAAAAATAACGACGACATAAAATGTAAAAACATTCTACAATAGACTACAGACGTCATGTATAGGAACATGTTGAGAAAATAAAAATTAATCTTATCATCGAAAATAAGTAATCCTGTACAATTATTAGTTTCAATTTTCTCATTATTATAGTTGCTCATTATTCACAAAGATTTTCGCAGATTTTCTAGAATTATTATTGAAAAGACGATATTTGAAGAATTTGAAGAAATCTGCGAATAAATTCAAAGAAAATAAGAAATTCAATATACAAATAAAAACGAAATAATCAATTTTAGCATTGATTTATGGACAAATTTCTTTTGTGAAATATGTTCCTATCCATCTAATTAGTTTACTGTATACATTTTACTTTATTTTTCGTTGTCGTTATTTAATAACTAAAAAAACTAATTCTGAAAACGTATCTACCCCCAAAGTAGGAGTTTTGAACGTCGAATTTGCGCTCAAACTCAGGATTTACAGATCTTTACAAAGTTTAATATGTCTCAAACGAAACCGAAAGAAGTTTTCCACAACACTGCATACTTAGTTCAACTACCTTGCATAGCCGGTCACTCCCTTTAAATAAAATCTTGTTCTATGTTTTTTATATTTTCAAAAATATTTATTAACTGTCTACACTGAAACTATGCATCAACTATATACACTGTTAGAAAACTATGCATCAACTGTATACACTGTTAGAAAACTATGCATCCACTGTATACACTGTTAGAAAACAATGCATCAACTGTATACACTGTTAGAAAACTATGCATCAAATGTATACACTGTTAAAAACTATGCATTAACTGTATACACTGTTAGAAAACTATGCATCAACTGTATTCATTGTTAGAAAACTATGCATCTACTGTATTTATTGTTAGAAAACTATGCATCAACTGTCTACACTGTTAGAAAACTATGCATTAACTGTATACACTGTTAGAAAACTATGCATCAACTGTATACACTGTTAGTAAACTATGCATCAACTGTATTCATTGTTAGAAAACTATGCATCAACTGTATACACTGTTAGAAAACTATCAACTGTATACACTGTTAGAAAACCATGCATCAACTGTATACACTGTTAGAAAACTTTGCATCAACTGCAAACATTGTTGGGTAACTGTGCATTAACTGTGATCACTGTTAGAAATCTATGCATCAACTGTATTCATTGTTAGAAAACTATGCATCAACTGTATACACTGTTGGAAAACTAAACATCAACTGTATTCACTGTAAGAAAACTATGCATCAACTGTATACACTGTTAGAAAACTATCAACTGTATACATACACTGTTAGAAAACGAAACATCAACTGTATACTTTGTTAAAAAACAATGCATCAATTATATATACATGTAAGAAAACTACGCATCAACTATATAAACACTGTAAGAAAACTTTGCATTAACCCTAAAACACACTGTAAGAAAAATATATACACTGTTGGAAACAAATTAACATTGGGTTCAGAATACCGAAATCAAGAAAACATTTTTATACAACGAACATTTTGTTTAAAATTACTAACTTAAGTTTACGGATATATTAATGGCATTCACTTAAATTATGCTGACAGTCCCTTTAAACCAATATTACACCAAGACAATGAAACAAAGTATGATGTAATTAAATGTTTTATGACAGAAATATATTTTGTTGGGTGTTCTCGCTCTTTGTTCTATCATTCTTTTATTCCCGTAATCCTGGGACAAAGCAATGAAAAGAAAAGTGATAAAAACATGAGAGTAGAAGTGCAAGAAACAGGGAAAGTTCTTGGTTCGAGGAGGCTGGGGGGATTGCAATAAGAAATACAGGGGGGGGGGGGAGTTGATAAGTGAAAGTCAGAACAAAGAAGAAATGTGTCTACAAAACGAGTAAAACATGTAAGACACTTATTTAATCAGCTTGACAAGATATTATATATATAAGCACAAATACAAATATAATGACAATTCTGGCCTGCAATATGGCTTAAAATATTCCACCCCTCCCCTTCCCCCCCCCCTCATTTAAAACGTTATTCAAAGGCAGGTCAACTTTTGTTTATACCTGTCCCCACTCCCCCCCCCCCACCTATACCTTAGAACCCCAACTGTACCAGCACGTCGTGTAAACCTATATTTATCTACAGTAGGTGGATGGAGTTGCCGGTACGGGGGGGGGGGGCGGGGCGGGGGGGATGACCTTTCCAAAATTAATCCGTGTTTTTTTTTAATTTTCATAATTCTGGGGTAGTAAACAATATATCTAAAATTATTGTTATAAATTTCAAATAATGAATTTTGTAAGATCAAATAGTCTAAGTTTGAAATATTAGGTTGCGAAGGAAAAAGGGTGCGACATTTTTAGTCTGAGGCAAAGACTCAATTCCTTTTGATGTCTGAATTTCAATTTCTTGATTTTTGGATGGAAATACAATTTCCATCCTGCTGCCTGCATGCATGTAATTCCGCGCAAATTAAATTATTTCCTTGTTCGCAGTTAAAGAATGTTTTTTTTCTGCAAATTTGTTCTCATTCAAAGTTTCAACGTATTTATGTGTTTAAATTGTTAGAAAATATAATGTTCTACTAAAAAGGTTTTGTTTGTTTTCCTACGGGCTTAAATAAACATTTTTAAGACTGTGTTGTTTATTTATTTTGATGCAAAACCTCTGCCCATCCTTTCAGCGTGCTCAGAAATATTAGCAAATAAAATCACAAACTATGCAAACAATAGTGCAAAAAGATGCCTTGTATTAACCTAAAGAGACTGTAAGCGTAATTTCAAATGACCCTGCCTGGAAAATTATGAATTAGATATCTATGTTTTTAAATTTGAAAACTGATTTTTTTAAATGTGTTTTTTTTGGCAAAAGTGATAAGCTTATTTCTTCTGCAGCAAACCATTTAGAACAATATTGATCAAATAATGGTTTCAATGGTACCGTTGTGAATCAGGCACTGTCTGTATCACTTAAAAAATTAAGCTTACTTGATTTTTTAATTTTTACGAGAGATTGAACCAGATCTGGAAAGTACAGGATGACCCACTAAACTGAGCTGAATGGCTTAATCTGAATATTCAACAGTGGAAACTTTTAATTTTCATTTCACATTTCAACAAATATAAATTTCATCATGATAATATCAACATATTAAAAACCTATTTTATCGCATTTAGGACTGTAGTCCTTTTGAACATTAGTCCATCAATCAATCCAAAACTTATGTTCCTTCAATCCAATCACTGATATGATTGATATGACACCACAAATGCGGGAAAATTAAAAACCGGTTTTCAAAAGTTGTAGAGCGCATCTCTGATCTCTAGAAGTTAATCTGAAGACTAAATTATTCTTCAGATTAGCAAAATAAGAGGATCAAGTGTTGATCTTGATATCCACCAATCTAAAGTTTTCAGCTCTGAACAATTAAAACCATTATATTTATTTCTGAACCTGATTTTGCAGGTAAATGATTCTCATACAATTTAATACAGTGCTTTGAAGACATAGAAAGAATTTTATTACTGTCGTATTAAGGCTGCAAATATTCTTAGCTATTTATTTATTTTACATTTACTGAGATTTTAGTACAGTATACAGCCCATTTATTGTATTCTCATGTTTATTACCTAAATCTGAAAAATTGTAAAAAAATAGATATGAATATCTACTATGGCAGGGCGTAGTTCTAAAAGAACAATTATTCTTTCACAAGAACGAAAGGAACTTTCAAGAACGGTCCCATTGTTCTGAATAAACAATCGAACCCAAAGAACTCGTTCCTAAAAATATTGAAACGGAGCGGAGCAGATATTAGCTTAAAAGAATGTTTAAAATCGGGAACTGGTTCTTATTATCAAGAACACCTTCCAGGTCAGGAACGCATTTTATATCAGAAATGTATGCTAAATCATCTAGAAATAATCAAAAGATTTTTTTGATTCGATCACCTGACCCCCACACTCATAACCCACCCCAACTTACCCCAGCCTACCTCTTCCTTGAGGGAGGGGAGATTTAGGTAAAAAGAAAATGTTTTCTATAAATCATGTATATGTCTTTTTAATATTTTTGAAATATTGATCATGAAAATTAATTATTTTTTATAAATCTACAATTTCTTTACTCGTTTTTAAAGATAAACCAGGTTCTTTTAGATTTTTTTTTTCACAGACCAGACTTTTTCACCTTATATCCTACCCTATAAATTAGAAAAAAATCCTTTAAATTACTATTCATCAAAAGTAAAATAAATTCAAGGTGTCAAAAATGAAAGTGCTAGGACAAAAAAAATACATGGGGGCGCCAAACGCCCCCCCCCCCTCCAGTCTGTTTAGGGTTAATTAAACTGTATAGAGGCCGTTCCTTCCCTAAAAATGTATGAACAGTTGTCATGTTGTTCACGTATTTTTGGGGACTATAATTTAGCTGGCAGATGTCTGATGCAAAATATTTAACTGATAAATAGAAAATTATTACAACAACAATCCAGAGACCTTATGAGAGACTGCAATGTTGAAAGGAATGGTCTCAGGGATCATATATATATCCAAACTGTGGTCTGCCATTAAATAGTTTGTATTCAATTTAGTCAGATTTCAATTAACCCAAATGAAACAAAAGCCATTTAAATATCCAATATTTTTGTCATTTTTTGAAATACTTAATGAGTAAAGTAATACTATTGACCATAAATACAAATCCCCCCCCCCCCCTGGAAGTTGTCTTTACCAAAACCCTTCTCCGAAAAGTACCAAACCAAATCAATTCTCTGACTATTTCTCTGTATACTCTCCAACAGAAGGAAAATCTGAAAACAGTGAAATGTTTTATTATTAAAAAATGAATTCACAGACAACTTTACAATCTATTGTAAATTCCACTTGAACAACCAGGTTTATATATTCAGAAGTTATCCATTGTTTCAATCTACTCCATCAAAAAAAAACCCTGACCCATAATCACTCTTTTCATCCTGTCACAAATAAATTGTAAATTATCTTATTAAACATTCAAGAATATGTAAATACTGTTACTTTTTATGTCATTCAATAATATTTAAATATTGTCATTTCTATTTCATTTTATTTTGTATAATTTTTGTAGGTTTGAAATAAGTCCATGTTCTGAGTGCGAGGAGATAAGGAACCAATTGATCAACCAACCACAGAACCTACAGTGAAACCCTTAAAAACGAATACATCGGAAGAATTTATCAAATGTCGTCTTGACAATTTTTCAATGAGTTTAATACTATATTACGCAAATTTCAGTATTTGCGAAAATAAATAAATAGCCATGAATATGCGGGAACAGTTTTAAAGAGTTCCATATAATCATTTAATAAAAAAAAACTTAATATCTGCAACATTCCATTATCAGAAAGTGAAGAATATGACATTTGATGAATTCTTTCGATGTATTCGTTTTTTCGTTATTAAGGGTTTCACTGTTTAAATCTAACACCCACAGAACCTATCGTTTTTATGACCACAGATTCAATTGATCAACGGACGTAAGAACCAATCAATCAACCAACAACTATGGATCCCAAACAAGCTGATGTCGACCAACTTCTCCAACATGATGTTACCCATGGAGACAACACCAAAACCCCTCATCATGAGCACTACAAAGCATGCACTGCTGTTTACAGGGATGCATAATTTGTAATACACCAACCAACCACCTTCGTAATCTGGATGTGGACCTGAACATCGGCAATACTACCTCAACTTCAACATTGTCCTCTCCCGCCAACCACTATATCCTGCACCTTACCTCTGATGTTCCAACACGCCATTCAAGGTAACATCATTTACAAACTGACAGCCCTAGATAAATTAGAATAGATTGTTCATGTCGTCTTCACCATACCGGAGGGTAACAGTTGAAATTGAAAATGGCAATTTAGCTATGGACTAGGTCACTAGCTACTGACATACAGTACATTGGATATAAAGGTTGCGGCAAGTTTATTTGTACTCTGTACAAATTTATGGGGGTTTGTTTACAAATATTGCAGAAATACTAGTTAAAAGTTGAATTTCAAAGGATTAGAACGAAGATTAGTTGCTGCTTGCTACCGATATGTGAGTGATAATGATGACAATCAGACTCCTCTTCCACACAAAGAACACATTAACATTGGAAGACTTTTCAAACTATTAAATCTCTTGGGATGATAGCGATACTTTGGTGAATTCTATGTGTCAACAATCAACATGTGGACAGTGAAAATCTCGGTATGATTACCATTTTATTTTATTTTATTAAATTAACTAAGTTGATTCTGTCCTAGTATACAATTTTTGGACCCAACCCCCCCCCCCCCCCCCCCCCCTCCTATCAATTTTGTCTATGACCACCTTTTTTTCAGCAAAATTGTTATTATTATTTTTTAAATTATCTTAGGGTTAGGTTAGGTTAATACTATTTCTGGGCCAAGCGCTGCAGCTAACCTAATTTTGTGTTATTTCAGGATCTCTCTTCAACTTGTCTTGCATGCAACAGAGAAATCGATTGGCTGCTGCAAATTGTTACTTAATCTTTTTACAACTGAGACGAAGTTCCCAACCTATGAATATAAGATTTACTTTTTGATAATAATGCATTCCTAATTTTTTCAATTTTGTTGGCTCATTAATAAAGAGATTTTTAAAACTTTACTTTCACTTACACATTTGACTTGTATACTTTTGTGTGTTTGGACTTGAGAAATTTTCACTTTTAGAATCTGTTTTGGATATTTTAATTTTAAAAGGGTAATGAAAAAAGTCGACATTTATTACTTTTGAAAATGTACCAATTTAAACAAAAAAGAAACACAAATTTTAAACGATTTTTAATGGCAAATTTTAGGGCGACAGTCAACCATAAAGGCTGGGGGGTCTGAATCTATGAATAGCCTGGGGGGGAGGCGTCCCACGCCCCTCCCATTAGAAAAAGGCCTTAGAGAATAGGTATAGAATTAAAATGCATAATCATAGACCAATTTTTCAACGCCAGCTCATTAAAAAAAAAATTAGACAGATAATGCTAATAGTTTGGGCTCTAGGGAAGGTTAAAAAAAAAGGTAAAATTGTAATATTTTTAAACAGATATCCAATTGTGACACATGTTTCTAAATCCATTTTTTAAGGAATTTTTAAAAATATAATTTTTAGATCTGTAGCTTTAGTCACAAAAAAGTTAAGGGCCATTTTAGATTTTTTTTACACAGACCGGACTTTTTACCGCCCTGTACCCTACCCTATGCATTTAAAAAAAATTAACAGAAAAATCCTTTAGATTAACTATTCTCATTAAAAGTCACAAAATTTCACGGTAATAGTGACAAAATTGAGATTGCCAGGACAAAAAAAACTATAGGGCCGGCCAAGCCTGTTTAGAGTTATAAGCTAAAATAGTTAATGGGTGAGGCCTAGTTTTTATTAAACTTCTTTAAATAAATTAGTAAAAAATTCTCTAAGATTGACCCCGAGAAGTAAAACGTATTCAATGACCTCTTCAAATGACAAGTTCATGATGTACAAGGGGTTGTACAATTTTCAGCTTTACAGTCTGCATTAACAATCTATTCTAATTTATCTAGGCTGACAGCCTATGCCAAACTGTACAATCTACCATGAACATTTGGAGGAGATAAAAGACCAATTGATCAACAGACCAAAAAATCTTTTGATCTAACAACCACAGATCCAATTTATCAACCTAACAAAGAACCAATAGATCAACCTACCATCCTAACATCTTATTGACAACACCTAACAACACCTTGACAACACCTACCTATGTTTCAACAAAAACGAGGCAGGTATAATTGAATTGGAAAAATTGACCTTATTTGTATATTTATACGAAAGATTAGTACAAAAAGTAAAACTACATCTAGCGGAGAAAAAGTAACTTACAGCATGTTCTGTAATTAATAATTACATTTAATAATTACATAATTACAGCCCCGAGCTTGATTATACACAGTATATATATATATATATATATATTACAGCTGTGTATATACGTTAGATGCATCCACCAGAGCCCAAAACTTAAAACAGTGTTAGGGTTTCTAATCGGAATTCCGTTGTGCGCAATTTCGCGGAATTGCGCGCAACTGTTATCGAATTGCGAGGAGTTTACAGGGCTTGCAATTATGCAGAAGTAAAATACACTCGCGTATAGTTATGAAAACCAGTTTTGCAACTCGGGTTTCACAAATGGGGTTAGGCAGTTTTGTGGATATCAATATTTTTGTTGTAAAATATTATTCCATTTTTTTATTTAGTTTCTTCATATTCTCATTTCTTTTAGGATCTCTAAACTCAAAATCTACACAAATATCAAGACCCCAAAAATGAAACTAGGAGTTTCATTTAATAATTTTCTTTTTAAACTCGAGCTCAGACGGACAGCCCCTTCTAAAAATAGAATTTGTTGATAAAAATTTTAAAAATTAATCACAAAATTATTACTCTTATCCGAACTTTTTACAATTTTTGTTATCAAAATTAAATCTACCAAACTAACTAATCACCCTCAGTGCAGTCAGTACTTCAAGCCATGGCTTAGCAATTACTAGGTTAATATAGGAACATTATATACATGGTGTCCAATATCATTTCGGATCGTTTATTGCACTAAATTGCGTTTTTCGGCACTAGTGAAAAAATTTAAACAGAATTTGTTTCCTGTTTGTATAATAAGCCTAATATATTAGCATGGAAGAAATATTAGGTTTTTGGGGAATACTATGTGATGTGCGTATTTCAGCGTTAAATCTTAGCAGAGGCATAACTAGGGGGGGGGGGTCGGCCGGGGGGAGCCCTTATAACAACTAATAGCAATCTTTATATTGTACTACAGCTTGGGAACCCAGCGCTTCCCAAGTTACTAAAAGTTTCTCCCGCCGTTTACAAGCACTTGAAAGATTTTATCGGGAAATTACCCAATCAACTTAGAGTCTCAAACCTAAGCTAAAAACATTCACGTAGGTTTCCCGAGTTTCCCAATCAAAATTTGAGGCAAATCGGTCCAGGGGTTCTTAAGTTATGATCGGACAAACACACAGACAAACAAGTAGAGATTATAACCTTATATATATATAGGTGCAACTCTTCCATAAACTCGAATTGCCTATAAAAAATGAAAAGTTATGTATGAGATTAGAAAATTATTCACAAACTTAGAAAGATAAACTTAACAGAAACCATGAACCTTTAATGAAGGAAAAAAGTTTTTTTTTCTTCTACCAAAAACATTTGCCATACACAAACTTAAAAACAGCACTCTTTAGCCAATATTGATTTTAAATAAAAAAATAATCATTAAATTTAAAATGAGTTCATAAAATAATCATTTTAAGACATGAAGCAGACTTACAAGAAGATGTTTTTCAATGTTAATTAATTCGATGATTTTAAACTAATAAAAATAGCCTCAAGAATGAAAGGCAGTCAAATAAACTTTACATTGGGACCACGAAGTCATGCTCACTAAATTTGTTAATTGATTAAAGACTCATGATTTAGTCTAAAAGATATTGACATATTTGTATCATGATCCAACAAGTAAAATATAATACTTCAATATTAAAATTTTTGGCTCTGAAGTGTGCATTTTTTCATGAATACCAACTATTTTCCTATTTAAAACTTGTTATTTATTTGTATCAAAAAAAGACAGATGTAAAACGGTTGCAACTACATCTAGCGCTAAAAATATGAACCTGTTTAGTCTGTTTAAATCAAGTTTGAGAGAAAGTGAAACCTAGCCACAGGCATTAGTAAAACCTGAAACACAAACAGTCACATTAATACACTAAACTAGGTCAACGAAAAGGCTCTATATATATTTATATATATTGTATATTTATCTTAAATTTCTAAATATAAGTATCACAGTAGACAATAGACAGTAGTTATTGACTGTAGACAGTAGACAGCAGACAGTAGACAGTAGACAGAAGGCAGTAAACAGAAGACAGTAGACAGTAGACAGAAGACAGTAGACAGTAGACAGTAGACAGTAGACAGTAGACAGTAGACAGTAGACAGTAGACACGAGACAGTAGACAGTAGACAGTAGACAGTAGACAGCTAAGTAAAGAAAGTATTAGCATAAAGTGGTGTGAATTCAGATAAGAGTTTTCTCTATCCATTCATCCTGTCTCTTCGTCATATATATATTCTATGCATACTTTTCCAATATGTCATAATCAAATCATTCTTGTTCAACAGACTCAGTGAATTTTTGTTTAAAAGGTTTTTTGTCACAAGTACAAAAATGTGATTAATTTTTTCACAAATCAGCCTTTCTGGTTTAAACTTATTGTTTAGTTAAATGTAAATTTTCTTAAATGTAAATTTAGCTTAATCAGTGTGAAGTATCGGGCCGACTTTTAATCAACAAGAGTAAGCTGTACAGTACAAACACAGGTAAACCGGAACAGGATACAGCACACCAAGTAAATGTTCCCCTCCTAGAGAAATCTGTGTATGTTATAAAAATGAATTCATTTATTATAATAATCTATATGTATAATTCAAACTGATGCTAATCTAACCTTTCAAAAATTGATCAGACAAAACTAGCCCAATAGGCCAATAAGTAAAGGGTTGGTCTCAAAAAAAATGGCTACTAACTAGGATTATGTATGGAGCTAATTCTTAGAGATACTTTTTGGGAGTGAGGTCCAATTCAGGTTTGGGGTCAAAATTGCGAATATATTGTTGCTTTTTTCTCCTTTTCCCTCTTAATTCAAAATTTGTTGAATGAAAAAAAAAATATTATTCTTGGACAATTATCTTCCATACATATTAATGTAACTATATATACGGCATTTAAATAATTCAAATGCTACAAAGAGATGCGCATGATATCACAAAATATGCTTTTATATCAATGACAATTTAAGTATTGAATATTGTTTAACTTATGCTAAATAATTGTGTTTTCATCAGTAAGTTCGAATTCAATACTGTATACACATGTTTTGAAAAATTAGATATTTTTCAAAACGACATCTAGGAGGTTTTAACAATTTCTATGATACTTTTTATTGAAATAGAGAAAAAAAGAAACATTTAAGCCACAGTGATCAAAAGGTTTCATATTTCATATTTTTATTCAACAACAAAGCACTAGATAATACAAATAACAAATCACAATTTACTATGTAGTTGCCTAACCAGAGTTGGTTGTTTTGATTAGTTGGCCCATTATAAGCGAATAAAATAGATGGATGTACACTGTATAGTGTACATTTTAAACAAAACAATGATGATAAATCATGAACAAGGTAAGGAAGGGGTGAAAAAGTATAAGGGAATGGGTTGGTAGATATATTATTAGAATCATGTTTATGAATTACAGGGTGAAGAAGATAGCAAAGACTAAGTTTATCCACATGAAAAACAGTTATTTTTTTACAGATATAACTTGCATAACTATCTAAATAGTTTTTGAAGATTTTTTTTAAACAGATGTGTTTGGAAACCCTTTTACCAATTAGAAACACGATATCAAATATAAATGTTTAAGGACAACAAAGAAATAATAAATTGTAACACGATAAAACGTTCACACAGCTTTCAAAAATTGATGCAATTTCGCCGACATATTAAATTCTTAACCTAAATTCAGACTGTATAGATAGAGCAAGCAATAGTGAAAAACCCAATGCAGGATTCCAGACCATCCCCCCCCCCCNATGGGGTGTGTCTGTACCAAAAGAGTGTGTGTAAGGTTACAGTACCAAAGGTGTGCACTGTAGGTTTATACAGAACGTAATAATCTCGGTATTTGTACAGTCTAGGAGAGTACATTTGTTTATTGTTAATTGTTTACTTAAAAATAAGTTTAATATACATGTAATATATTACTTACATATTTAAGTCAACACTATAAGCCAAATTTTCATGCAAAGAATATAATTTGATTAAAATTTACAATAAACTACTGGTTATTCAAGTTTAATTATAATTGACGACATTGTTCTGCTATAGCCTTGACTGTAGTCATGTTGCGTGTCTGTGCCAAAAGAGTGTGTGTAAGGTTACCGTACTGGTCTGCAAAGCAGTGCGACTGGCTTTCTCATGCCAAACCAGCGCCATTTCCTTTCCCTTTATTCCTATTCCCTGATCAGGGAATATGAATAAAGGGAAAGGACAGGGTTTGCCATTAAACAGGTGCCATGCAAGACCTTAGCATAAGTAAAGTTTAGTATTCAGAGGGGGTTTTTTGTAATGGAGTCTCAAGGTCCCAAAACTTAAAAAAAAATTTGAATCTTTAAAGATCTGCATAGTTTTTCATTTGACATGGAAAAACTTTTTAAGAGTATCAAAGATTCAAATCTTTATTGTCTAGTTCTAGTTCAAATGTGTATTGCAAAATCCAGTTATTTAACAAAGATGTACAAAAACAAAAACAAAGGCATACATATATACATACATAAAAAATACTTTTTTGAGGTATGTTCAATAACGTAAATGGGGTTCTAACAGGCCCCCACCCCTTGTCTGTCTAACATGCGAAGCCAACTTTTTTTGCATATTAAGAATATTAAGCTTTTAAATTGTGAATTGCCATCTTACGATTATACAATCAAAGAGAATAGAATATATATTAGAGTAGAATTTACTAGAAAAAAGTGTAAAACGGCCTATTTTGTTGTACTGTTTCCATACTGCAGGTGTACTTCACATATTTATGCTCTATAACCTTTTGGGCCCTGGAACATCATTTTATAGAAAATCTATAATTAATATTAAAAGAAAACCAAATTATGAAATAGGCTGGTTTCATAATTGACCAATGATCATTTCACATAGACTCTATGCCTTTAACTTTCCAAACGATAATTTTCCTTTATAACTATAAATAAAATGATGTTTTTTATTCACCTAATTCATTATAAAGTTTATTTAACAGTTTTAAAAAAATTCAAAATTGAAATGGATAGTTTAGGGAACATATTGTATTTGTGAACATTTACATATGATTTGAACACTTTGAACTCCCTGTCAGGCTGAAAGGGACTGACAAAATTCATACCGATGGATTATCAAAATTACACAATCCTTTTAAATCCAATTTAGATAGTAAAGATTTAGCAGCTATAATGAAATTATCAAATCAAGCTGATTTCTGATTGTAAATACAAGAAAATAACGATTAAACTGTATTATTTGGACTGTAAATGCTTATCAGTTAATACTGAGTTTCAATAAAGAATGCGTGTAATTCACTGTTGGGTTACACAGTACATACTAGCACAATACGCTTATCTAGGCTTCACTGATTTCACTTTCTTTCGACCTTCAAGCCAGTAGCTATAAGGCAGCTGATAAGCTGGTTTATATTCTTACCGCAAGATGTAGTTATACAATTGTATACCCAACTTTTCAGATACATTTGAAATAAATAGTATTAATAGACAATTGTCTATTGATTATTTGTATAAACACTAATTGATAAATGCCTTGGGCTGAACATTCTAACTATTTTTGGTATATAAAATTAAGAAAATGTTGATAGAAGTATTTATATTTAGTAGTGAGACCATT